GATGCAGTATACCACATTGGCAGATGTGCAGGTGAACATCTGCTTGATGTGGAAAGTCTTCTTGGGGCCTGGGATGGGGGTGAGGGAGGAGGTATGGGGGCAGGTGTAGCACTTCCTGCGGTTGCAGGGAAAAGTGTCGGGTGTGGTGGAGCTGGAGGGGAGTGTGGAGCGGACAAGGGAGTCACGGAGAGAGTTGTCCCTCCGGAAAGCAGATAAGGGTGGGGAGGGAAAGATGTCTTTGGTGGTGGGGTCGGATTGCAGATGGCGGAAGTGTCGGAGGATGATGCGTTGGATCCGGAGGTTGGTGGGGTGGTACGTGAGGACGAGGGGGATTCTTTTTTGGTTCTTATTGCGTGGACGGGGTGTGAGGGATGAGGTGCGGGAGATGTGGGAGACACGGTTGAGGGCGTTCTCGACCACCGAGGAGGGGAAGTTACGGTCCTTGAAAAACGAGGACAACTGAGATGTACGGGAGTGGAATGCCTCATCCTGGGAGCAGATGCGGCGGAGGTGAAGGAATTGGGAATAGGGGATAGCATTTTTGCAGGAAGGTGGGTGGGAGGAGGAGTATTCTCGGTAGCTGTGGGAGTCGGTGGGTTTGAAATGAATATCGGTTTCTAGGTGGTTGCCCGATATGGAAATTATAGGAATGCTGACACAATGTGGGTTGGTTGTTGTCGAAGAAATGACTTCAAAGGATTTGATATTGTTGAATACATAGAGGAACAAAAACCCATTGAGACCTTGCAATTCTCTAGCACTTCACACATACAGATGCATCTCAGAAGAACGCAGGCTGTTGTCTGGGGCGATGCTTGGTGGGTCCTTGGCTGTGACAGGGGCAGTGCCTGGTGTGAGGGCTCCTGGCTGCGGAATGCCTGAAGCATGGACCCTTGGGGCGGGTTGGTGGGGGGTGGGTGTTGTCATTGCTGCACCCACAGCAAGGAATCCTTGAAGTTTGGGACACCTTGCAGTGACCTTGCAAAAGCTCTCGACCTGTGTTTGAAGCTGTGTACAGAAGATGAACTCTATCTATGTAATTTCTTTTCCTAACTCAAAATGGCATCGAATTGTGGCGACAATACACTTTTCACCGTATCATTCCCGATATATGTGACAATCAATAACTCATGCTCATCTTGAAATGAAATTAACAGGGCAAGATGGGTGGGTAATGAAATGGAAGGAATTGGTGAATAAAAGTGAAATCACTGCAGAAGGAGTTGAAGAGTGGGTGAGCTTATGGATAAGCAGGTGAAGGAGTTCACGAAGAAAGGCACAAAGCCATGGAGGGATTGCGAGATGAGAACAAAAGGCTTTGAGCTGCACTTTCATCTTTGAGGCCAGAGTCAGGGAATTTCCTGATGTTGAGACCCTACCTGCTACCTAGGAGTACCTGCCAAAGATATGTTATCTGATGGAGATGAGGACATCCTCAAGTAACCCAGGCTGCAAGCACAAGGCAGTGAATGGGCTGAACTGATGGGATCAACAGGTTAAAAGCACCCTCTATTTGCTGAGACATCAGTCAAGTTATGGGGGTGAGCATGAGGCCCAAGAACCCAAAACTGCTCACTGACATACCCCTGCATACCACTAACCCATTTATCCAAATAACACTTGGAAGTCTTTTGAAAAGCTCTTCAGAAGTAAACAAGTGCTAGTTCCCCTTGGCAGTTTTATGAACACAACATGCTGAGCAGAATCCATTAGAGTATCTGATCACATGCAAACAGAGGGCTGAGCTGGACTTCAAGGGGTAAGTAATAGCAATAAGAACATCTCACACAATCAGATCAATATTGTTCAATGCAGGATAGAGCTTTATCCAGTGGATAATGTATACTAATGCATTTGAAAAACTTTTAAATTTCACAATACGATTCTTTCCCTTGACAGCTTTCTAATTTTCAAAAGTGACAGCTTTGCAGTCCCATTGTTTAATGTTCACTTACTTTTTGAAAACAAAGCACAGATGAAACTTCTGCACAATTTTATTAGGACCTGTGAGGTAGAGAACACATTTTTGTACTTATTCTACAATGAGCTCTGCCTCCAAAACATGGCTTACCCATAGTTCACTAAACCTCTGTTCACTGCAGTAATTCATGATGCCTATCAGAGATTGCCTTCCATTAAAATTCACCCAGTTCAGAAAAACATACTCCCACAATGGTGCCAGCAATATTAGGACAACAGTGAGTAGGCTCTCAATCCATATTGTGTTACTTCCTGAGCCACAGGGTGTCAGGGGAGTAGCTTGGGGATGGTGGGGTAGATATGGGTTATGTCAAAACATCTTGAGGAAATGTTAGATCTTAGACAGAAAACCGTACAATGTGATTTAAAAACCATTTCAAAAACATATCCCCCATTTCTCCATTCTTTTCCATTCCAGTTTTCTTCCCTCATTTCCTGCCAGCACTTTGTGAAGCTTTCAATTCTGATGAGGACATGGAACAGGCAGTAGTGAGTTAGCACCCCATTATACACCTGATTCAGTTGTTTGTTTTTGCCAAATTTAGTGAAAAGTGAAAGCTTGGGTGTATAGGGGCAATGCCCTCAGATGACAATTCTTGGTAGAGTTATGGCTCCATGCTTGATGGTTACCCGCCTGTACCTCAATTAAGTGGCCATCCTTTGGATATTGACCAAAACAATAGGCATTGACAGTATCCTTGTCTATGAAACCTAACAGCATTAACCCCACTGCTGCCTTCTCTGCAGTATCCTTCACCTGTGTACTATTTGGTAGGAGTTAAATAATTGAAATCTGGAGCAGGAATCCTCTGCTATTCCTTCTTTGCCCTCTTTTTATCATGACTACCTTTGCCATCTTGGTGTCTATGCTGAGACGAGCAACTCCTATGAAGATATCAGCCACTTTCGACTGCCTGTTTCAGTTTGTGTTAATGAAATAATTCCAATGATCGCCTTAGGATTTCCATACTTTACGATCACTGAGTTTCAAGGGTGTGTTGAAGTCACTGATTGAAGCAAAAGTAATGATGTTCTTTTCATTTTCCGGGTTTAGTGAGTTTTCTGGGAGAACTTTTATGCTTTGACACCTCACCAAATGCTTTGATTATATGTACTTTAGTCACTCCCTCTACTTGACCCTCTGTGCCCCATTGGGAAGTACTTTTGTCATTGACTGCAAAACAGTTCTAATTAATAAAAGAAATCATTTATGTTTTGCTTTGCAGAAAAAGACACCAAAGGATCAAGGAAAAATTAACCCCCGACCTGGCAAGGTAAGAATTACAAATCACATGGAAACTTTCTTACAACTTTTGATTTACTTGTGTATGGAATGTAGATGTTGCTGGCTGGGCCAGCATTTATTGCTTATCCCTGGTTGCCTTTGAGAGGATGGTAGTGAGCTTGAATTGCTACAGTCCATGTGGTAAAGATACATTGGGAAGGCATGTTGCAGGATCTTGGCCCAGCGACAATGAAAGAAACGCAATTTATTTCCAAGTCAGAATGGTGTGTGACTTGGAGAAGAACTTGCAAGTGGTGGTGCTCTCAGCTATTTGCTGCCCTTGTCTTTCTAGATGCTAATGGTGATGGGTTTGAAGGTGCTCTTAAGGGAGCCTCATGAGATGCTGTTCCATTCAAACTAAGTGCATACTTAAGGTAGCCTTAAACCTCTTTCTTTGTTACAATACTTTTCTTATTATTGCTGCACCAAGAGTCAATGGCCCACAGCAATATCTTCTGATGACCCTCTGTGGGCTCTAGTGATACCATCCTTCTCTCTTCTCATTGTGTTGCATCCCAGAATTATGACCCAGTGTTCTACTTGGGTTCTTTCTTTCTCAGGAACCTGCTCTTCCCTTCTCCTCCTCTTCCATTAGATTCCCCTTCCTTCCATTGTTCAGGAAACCTGCTATTTTTAAAATCATGTTTGGCATCAAGTAATATTCACTTGTTGACCTCTTCAAGTGAGTGGTGTGTCCCTCCAGATTGGTGAGACTGCTTTAATCTGGGTGATGACCGCAGCCAGGCTGGCATGGTCTGGTATCATGGCCTCCGCTGCTGATCCTGTGGAAGACAATGTCCTGCCTTTCTAGTCACCCCTCCCAGCAGGAGCTCAAGGACCCTGCCTGCAGATTAGGGTGCCACCTTTACCTCTGCCTGCCATGTTTACAGCAAAAGTGCAGTGCAGCTGTCTGAGTTCACAAAGATTGTGGTGAAAGGGTGCTGGTGAATTCTGGGATATTGGCTGAATGGTGAGTTGTTCTGGAATAGATGGGATTGGAATTAGGCATTAGGGATGCCACAGAGTTGGGGTAGATAGTTAATGAGGCGAGTTTGGCAAATTATGGCGAGAAAACCCATGCAGCTGAAATCCCTCGAAAGCCCTGAGGCAATTTGGACTTGGCCAAAGTCCAAATAAAAATAAAGATCAGCCCATTGACATTTACAGCACAGAATGAAGCCATTTGCACATCCTGTTTCTGCCAGATCTGAATGCATTAATCCCATTTTCCAGCTCATAACCCTCAGGGGCGATGGCAACACAAATGACTTTCTAAATACTGCTTAAAAGTTTCAAATGTTTCTGACTCAACCATCATTTCAGGCATTGAGTTCCAGACTCCCGTCACCTTTTAAGTGAAAATAACTGTTTGGTGCTGCTGAAGAATCATATCGATTTGAAATGTTAACCGTGTGATTCTCTCTCTCTCTCCACAGATGCTGCCAGGCTTGCTAAGTTTCTCCAGCATTTTCTGATTTTATTTCAGATGTCTGGCAGTATTTTGCTTTCACTTACTTCCCAATTGTTTAATTATCGAAGCGTCGTCACAGTGTAGACTCTGGTTTCTGTTCAAAACCTTCTGACATAATGTGGAAGTTCTCAAAATTGTATAAAAAATTGGAACATTTACTGTTTCATCATTCAATTTCCATCTGTAAAGAGTAATTGGATGAACATCTCAAGAAAAAAACAGAAAGGTACAAGAATGGGTATAAACAGAAGTGTCTAAACACTACATTTACGAGCAAGAGCAGATCATAGGTTGAACACAGCTAATATTGTGAAATCCAACAAACATGTTACAGAAGGCTAATGGCTCTGAATAACTGCAGTAACGTACTCTGAAAGTTCCTCGCTTTTCGACAGAAAGCAGTGTGTTCTGGTTATGGAAGGAGTGCAACAAAGGTTTGGCAAACTGATTCCTCTGATGAAGAGGGATGAAGAGAAACTAGATTAGTTAGGGCTACATTGAGACTGGAGTTTAGAAGAATGAGGGGGCTCTCATAGAAACATATAAAATTCTAACAAAACAAGACAGAGTTGACACAGGAAGGACTTTCCCAATATCTGGGGAGTCCAGAACCAGGGGTCACAGTATAAGGATACCGGGTAGGCCACTAAGGACTGAGATAAGGAAAAATTAGATGATAGTATAAGGTAGGGGTGGAGGTTAGATAGACCTTAGGTTTAGGGTAAAAGTTCGGCACGACATCGTTGGCTGTACTGTGCTGTACTGTTCTATGTTGTATGTTCTGTTTCCTCACCCAGAGCGTGGTGAGCCTGTGGAATTCCCTGCCACAGAAAGCAGTTGAGGCCAAAACGGTGAATGTTTTCAGGAAGGAGTTAGTTACAGTTCTCAGGGCTAAAGGGACCATTGGGTATGGGGAGAAAACGAAAACAAGAGATTGAGTTGGATGATCAGCCACAATCATATTAAATGGTGGAAGAGGCTTGAAGAGCTGAAAGACTTACTCTTACTCCTGTTTTCTCTTTTTCCTCTGTTTATTGCCTGTGCACAAGAATAGGCAAATGTTATCCCTCTCTTAGCAATGTCTGGTTCTTCTGGCAAGATTATTCATGTATTCAGAGGCGGCACGGTGGCTCAGTGGTTAGCACTGCAGCCTCATAGCGCCAGGGACCCAGATTCGATTCCAGCCTCGGGCGACTGTCTGTGTGGAGTTTGCACATTCTCCTCATGTCTATGTGGGTTTCCTCCGGGTGCTCCGGTTTCCTCCCACAGTCCAAAGATGTGCAGGCTAGGTGGATTGGCCATGCTAAATTGCCCGCAGTGTTCAGGAGTGTGTGGGTTATAGGGGGATGGGTCTGGGTGGGATGCTCCAAGGGTCGGTGTGGACTTGTTGGGCCGAAGGGCTTGTTTCCACACTGTAGGAATTCTATGTAAGGAAATTTCCTGGATGCCTCATGGGGAAGAGAGGGCTGAGGTTCAGACACCAAGCCAGACTGAAAGGGAGGAGGCTGTAAAAAGTGCAGGCAGATGTAGTAAGGAAGGGGAGTTGACAGAAGCAACTCAATGGCCATTGAAGGGAAAAAAACATATCTCATTCCACTTTTCTCTCCAGAAAAAGGCTGAGAGATGACCTGAAGGAGTTTTTTGCTCCTAATGGATTTGATACAGTCGATGTAAAATGGATATTTCCACTTCTGGAAGAGAGCAGAGTTGGTGGCAGTAAAAATAAATCAGCCACGAATGAAGCAACAAGAAATCCAGTAGAAAGGCCCTAAGGCAGCATATGGTTATAATAGGGAATGTCGAGTAGTTGAAGCAAACAGCACAAACATATTTCAAGGGAAGCTATGTGTATGAGGAAGAAAGGAATATTAGGATTTGTTGATATGTTGAGACGGAGTAAGGTGGGAGGAGACATCTGAGGAACAACAGCTCCAGAATGGACAGATTGAGGTAAATGGCATGTTTCTGTCATTAATTCTATGGAAAAGATTAGATTATTTGCATATATCTCACACCAGGAAATATTGGCAGTGATGGCTCTCATTAAAGCAAAACAAGTTTGACTGTCAATCAGGTAATGTTTTAGTTCTTTCACAGCCACAGATCAAATGAGTTCCTTCATAGAGAGCCAAAGCAGCCTTGAAAAGGAAATTCAGTTTTGTCCTTTCTAATTCACATTATGTGAGGTTTAAAAGAAAATTAGTAGCCCTCCAACACAATCACATCACTGCATTGATGAATTTCCAGGAATATGGTCACACAAACTTACAGATCTTCACAGTAGGACAAAACAGACCCTCAGGTCAAAAAAACTGAAGGTGTCAATTAAATCAAGCAAACGAAAGTGGACAAAAACTGAAAATGAAAGCAGAAATACCAAGGATGTCGGAAATCTGAAATAAAGAAAGAAAATGCTGCAAATAGTCAGTTGCTTCACTGGTATCTGTTGGAAGAGAAATTGATTTAATGTCTTGGGCCGATGGCCTTTCATCACAATTGCCATAGATCTGACACATGAACTGGGTTTCTTTCTCTGCACACGCCGCCTGACTTGCTGAGTGCTGCCCCCAAGTTTTGCCTTTAATCACAGAATAAGATCCCCCTGCTCACTGATCAGAATGATGTGAGGACTTCCCAAAAGGTGTTTGATACAATACTGGATGACATACTTGGGAGGAAGGTGCAGACTCATGGAGTAACAGGGACAGTAGCAACATGGATACAAACTTGGCTGGGTGATAAGAACAGAGTATTGATTAACAGCTGAGGCTGGAGGAAATTTTGGAGTGGAGTTCCATAAGGATCAGTATTGGGACACATACTTTTCCTGAAATGTATTAATGATCCAGATCGTGGAGTTCTAGACCCAGTTTCAAAATTTGCAGATGGTACAAAAGTTGAAACCATCGTAAACTGTGAAATGACTGTGTAAAAATTTAAATGGACATTTACATGTTGGTGGAGTGGGCAGACAGGTGCAGATAAAAATCAATCTGGAAAAGTGTAAGGTGATGCATTTTGGAAAACAATGCATGGGCAGATAGTATAGAGACCTACTCTGAAGGATGTACAAGAACAAAGGGACCAGTGTGTACATGTACAAGCTATTAAAGGTGGCAGGACAATTGGAGAGAATAGTTAATTAAAACATGCAGTATCTTAGGTTTTATTATTATTAGGGGCACAGAGTACAAGAACAAGAAGGTCATGCTGAGCATTTATAAGATGTGAGTTAGACCACAGCTAGAGTATTATGGACAGTTCTGGATGCCACATTTCAGGAAGCACTTGAACGCATTGGAGAGAGTACAGAAGAGGTTAATGAGAATGGTTTCAGAGATATGAAACTTTAGTTATGAAGATAGATTGGAAAAGTTGCAACTGTATTCCTTGTAAAGGAGAAGGCTACAAGAGGTTTTTATAGAAGTTGTCAAAATAATGTGGAGGCATGACAGAGAAACTGTTCCCATTGGAAAAAGAATCCACTGCATCACAGGAAGGAATGTTTCCCCATAGTGGAGGGATCAGTAACCGAGGGCAGAGATTTAAGGTAGGGTACAGGAGGTTTAGAAGTGATGTGAGGAATTTTTTTTCACCAAGAGGGTGATGGGAATCTGAATTCATGGTCTGTAAAGATGAAACAGAAACATAGAAGATAGGAGCAGGAGAAGGCCATTTCACTCCCCGAGCCTGTTCTGTCATTGAGTAGGATCGTGGCTGATCATTGAGCTCAATACCTTAATCCCACCCTTCCTCTAGCCGAGGCAGAGATCCTCATAACATTTAAGAAGTATTTAGATGTGCACTCGTGATGCCAAGGCAAACAAGGCTATGGGCCAACTACTGGAAAATGGGATTAGAATAGCTATGCGCTTGTATTTGACTGGCACAGACTCGATGGGCCAAAGGGCCTTTTTCTATTCTGTAGTTCCCTATGACTTTATGGTTATGATGAGCTCCAAGACAAGTAGATCCTTCCTGAGGTATAAAGACCAGATCTGTAAGCAATAGTTCAGGTGTAGTGTCACCTGTGCGCTGTTAAAATTTCTTGTAATTCAATCCACTTGCAATGAAGCTGAACAGGTTATTTGACTTCCTAATTTCTTACTGTACCTGCATTCTAAATTGGTGTTTCTTGTACAAAGACACACAACTTTCTCCGAACAAGAAACTTTGAAAGCTTATCATTATTAAAAAGTTCCGATTTGCTATTCTCCCTAGCTTTGTATCATCAGGAAACTTGGATCAGTTGATCTTGCTCCCTTCATCTTTAAGGAATTCGCATGGGTTATAAATACAGTAACAATCACCTTGGTGTCATCCTGGTCTCACCCAACAATAAACTTGTAAACTTGAAAATGTACTATTTATTCCTCCTTTCTGATTTGTGTCCATTTTTCTCTGTTTGCTCATATATTCCTGCTAATCATATTAACCTTTGTGATTAACATTTCATATAGCTCCTTATTGAAAGCCTTTGGAAATCCAAATACACTACTTTCACTACTTCCCCTTTAAAATACCCATTAGTTTAATCCTCAAAATACACTCATAAACTTGTCAAATGCACTTTTCCTTTCGAAAACCATGTTGACTCTGACTTATTATATCATGATATTTAAGTGCCTTATTAAGCTTGTTGATATTGGGTTCCAGTATTTTTGCATAATTATTGTCAGGTTAACTGGCCTACATCTCTCCCTATTCTTTGTCCCTCATTTCTTGAACACCAAGTGTTACATTTGCTGTCTTGTAATCCACTGGGAACACTTAAGAATCTGGGAAATTTTGATTAATCATGGACATTTATCCATTGTCTCTCCAACCATCTCTTTTGGACCCTAGGTTGTGGGACTATGCGTTTTATCAGCTCATAATTTCTACTTCCTCCAGTATTTATTTCACAACTGATATTAATTACTTTAATTTTCTTATTATTAGTTTGTTGGTTCCCCAGTATTTTGGCATACTTTTTTTCCTTCTTTTGCAGTAAAAACAAATACAAATTTTGTCAGATGTCACTGTCATTTCCTTATTCACCATTATAATTTCTCTTGCCTCAGTCTCCAAGGATGTTTACTTTTGATGCTCTCTTCTGTCTTGCAAAATTGTCGAAGCTCTTACCATCCACTTTTATATTTCTTTCTGGTATACTGTCATTCATTTCCTTCACTTTGCTGTATTTTTATTGTCCTTTGCTGACATCTAAAACTGTCCCAATTCCCTACTACAAATGTTCACAACGTTTTAAGCCTCATGTCTCATACCATGTACGGTAGGTCAGGCATTTAAGACAAAGTCGGATAAATACATGAGAAAGAAAAGAATAGAAGGTTATGCTGATAAGGTAAAGTGAGGAATGAGAATATTTGCTTATATGGAATATAAGTATCAATGTAGACTCATTGGGTTGAATAGCTTGTTTATGTGCCACCATTTGATATAATTCCTTGTGATTTGTAGTAATAAATGCTTCACAAACTTAAATGTAGATGGTTGCTGATGTCTGTAATTGGTCCTTTCTGTGGAGCAGGTCAGCTCATGACTTTTCTTTTCAATCTCCCATTTCTTGCAATTTAGATAATCATTTACGACAAGCCAAACTTCACTGGCTTTCAGAGAGAAATTATTTGTGATGTGCCTGATTGCTTGTCATGGGAATTTCCTGCTGTCATTTCAGTAAGAGTTATTCGCGGATGGTAAGTCAATGCAAACACTCCACAATTGGCCATTGCTATAGGACATTTTAGAGGGTGTGTTGACTAACTAGCTCCTGGTTCTAAAGATTTTTCTCCTCTTGCCTCTCTTCTGATTTGTTATTAACATTTAAGGAGGTTAAATTAGGGCATGTAACACTCATTTTTCTAGTACCACACAGACTTCTAAGGCCCCAGAATAACAGGCAGAATCATTGGCTTTTCTGATCTGAAAGCTTACTGCTTGCCATTTTGAAAAAGGGTCAGTGAGGTGTTATTGATTCCCCTCATTACCACTGCAGAAAATGCATAGATTGGTGGGCAAGGATGGATAGAGCTGGGATATCACCTCTACCTTTCAGTCAGGTGATTGAATTCACCATTCGTGCTCTTAAACTTTTAATCAATGCTTTTGGGATATTAAGGAAAAGGTTGAATTAAAAGAAAGTATTTCCACCAGTTGAGAAATCTGAGAGGAATTTATTCCAAAGTCATCTTTCTCAGCCCTTGTTTCCTGCAATGTAGAGAAAAGCTGTCAGTTGGGTATATTAGAGACAACAAGGTGCAGAGCTGGATGAACACAGCAGGCGAAGCAGCATCATAGGAGCAGAAAGGCTGACGTTTCGGGCCTAGACTCTTCATCAGAAATGGGGGAGGGGAAGGGGGTTCTGAAATAAATAGGGAGAGAGTGGGAGGCGGATAGAAGATGGATGGAGGAGAGGATAGGTGGAGAGGAAACAAACAGATCGAAGAGGCAGGGATGGAGCCAGTAAAGGTGAGTGTAGGTGGGGAGTTAAGGAGGGAATAGGTCAGTCCAGGGAGGACGGACAGGTAAAGGGGGCGGGATGAGGTTAGTAGGTAGGAGATGGGGGTGCGGCTTGAAGTGTGAGGAGGGGATAGGTGGGAGGAAGAACAGGTTAGGGAGGCGGGGACGAGCTGGACTGGTTTTGGGATGCGGTAGGGGGAGGGGAGATTTTAAAGCTTGTGAACCACAGGAAGTGCTACACCTGCCCCCATACCTCCTCCCTCACCCCCATCCCAGGCCCCAAGAAGACTTTCCACATCAAGCAGATGTTCACCTGCACATCTGCCAATGTGGTATACTGCATCCGCTGTACCCGTTGTGGCCTCCTCTACATCAGGAAAACCAAGCGGAGGCTCGGGGACCGCTTTGCAGAACACCTTCGCTCGGTTCGCAATAAACAACTGCACCTCCTAGTCGCGAACCATTTCAACTCCCCCTCCCATTCCTCAGACGACATGTCCATCCTGGGCCTCCTGCAGTGCCACAACGATGCCACCCGAAGGTTGCAGGAACAGCAACTCATATTCCACTTGGGAACCCTGCAGCCCAATGGTATCAATGTGGATTTCACAGGTTTCAAAATCTCCCCTCCCCCTACTGCATCCCAAAACCAGTCCAGCTCGTCCCCGCCTCCCTAACTTGTTCTTCCTCCCACCTATCCCCTCCTCACACCTCAAGCCGCACCCCCATCTCCTACCTACTAACCTCATCCCGCCCCCTTGACCTGTCCGTCCTCCCTGGACTGACCTATCCCCTCCCTAACTCCCCACCTACACTCACCTTTACTGGCTCCATCCCCGCCTCTTCGACCTGTTTGTTTCCTCTCCACCTATCCTCTCCTCTATCCATCTTCTATCCGCCTCCCACTCTCTCCCTATTTATTTCAGAACCCCCTTCCCCTCCCCTTTTTCTGATGAATGGTCTAGGCCCGAAACGTCAGCCTTTCTGCTCCTATGATGCTGCTTCGCCTGCTGTGTTCATCCAGCTCTGCACCTTGTTGTCTCGGATTCTCCAGCATCTGCAGTTCCTACTATCTCTGATTCAGTTGGGTATATTATCCTGGTCAGTGCGGTGATGATGTGTGAGCTGCTGAATGTTTTCGCTCCGAAATGTTTTAAGTATTAACCCCAGCAGATGTGTTTGAGAGGCAGTGCCACTGTAGTGAGGTAGTTGCAATGAAGTGCATTTTGAAAAGGCAAAACAGGGCAGGACTTATACAGTTAATGGTAAGGACCTGGGGAGTGTTGCTGAACAAAGAGACCTAGGGGCGCAGGTTCATAGTTCCTTGAAAGTGGAGTCACAGGTAGACAGGGTTGAGAAAAAGGCATCTGGCATGCTTGCCTTCATTGGTCAGAACATTGAGTACAGGAGTTAGAACATCATGTTGTGACTGTACAGGAAATTAGTGAGACCACTTTAGAATACTGCGTACAGTTCTATTGGGAGGATGTTGTTGAACCTGAGAGGTGCAGACAAGATTGACAAGGATGTTGCCCGGATTGGAGGGTTTGATCTATAGAGCTGAATAGGCTGGGGGGTTTTTTTCTGGAACATCGGAGGCTGAGGGGCGACCTTTATAGAGGTTTATAAAATCATGAGGGCCATGGACAGGATGAATAGCCAAGGTTTTCTTCCCAGGGTGGGAGAGTCCAAAACTAGAAGGCATAGATTTAAGGTGAGAGTGGAAAGTTTTAAAAAGGACCTGAGGGGTAACTTTTTCACACAGAGGTTGGTGTGTGTATGGAAGGAGCTGCCAGAGGAAGTGATGGAGGCTGGTACAATTGCAACATTTAAAAGGTATCGGATGGGTATATGAATAGGAAGGATTTAGAGGCATGTGGGCCTAATTTTGGCAAATAGGATTAGGTTAGATTGGGATGTCTGGTCAGCGCAGACAAGTTGGACCGAAGGGTCTGTTTCCATGCTGTATGACTGTATGACTCGAAGTGACAAACATTAGCTCTGTATGAGGAATCTGGCATAGGTGGCTGGCACATATTCCTGTGTGGCAGTCCCCTACAGCCATAACCTCACAATGTTAACTCACACCCATAGGATCGTGGGGCATTGAGTGGACTGTGGTATATACCCAGGCACAGCACAGTGGGTCATTCATCCTCCTGCGGCACTGTAGCCAGGTTCTCTTGTGTCACTCCCAGTTGCTGACCTCTGGAGACTCCTCCAATCCAGGCCACTTGATCAGTAGGGCTGGCCTCTTCTGGCCTACCGTCGGGTAAAGAGCTTCCCTTCTCTCCTGGACAGCCTACTAGAGAACGTCGAGAGGGATATCATTAAAGGATGGTAACAGTTTTTGTCTGATCTTTGACATCTTCTAGCTGGCTGGAGGTGATGAGCAGAAGTTGCTCCCGAAGTTGTGAAGAGTGAGGTCCTGATGGATGCTCTTTAAAAAATGCTAGAAGTCAGAGCCTAGATGGTCCAGGGGTAGGGGATGGGGTGGTGCAGAACTTACTGCCCATTTTCCCTTAAAAATTGGCCTTCTACCTCTGCATGTACAGCGTACTTTTTATTAACCGGCATCTAAGACCAGCTGTCCGCTGGTTGATCAGATATTCTGGATAATCAAAAGGTTCGCATAACTGCAGTAAACCCTGAACCAGCGGAGCTTTGAGACATCGACATCCCTCAAAAAATCCATGTAAAACCATCAAGCCTCCTAAAGTCAATCTAAAATCACACAATAAAAATAGAAACGTAATTCAGGGAGTCTGCACATCACTGTTAGCATAAATACTCGGGCATCGTGGTAGATCGCGGTATCTGAGATGTATGCTTGTTGCCCGTTTATCAAGAGTGCCGATTAATGAGGTGCCGGTTAAAACAAAGTTTTGCTGAGAACACAATGCGAGGAAACCCGACCTGCCCCCACCACTAAGTGGATGTACCGCCCATCTTTAAGCCTGCCTCCACGTTGAGTCTCAAAAAAAGCCAAGGTTCCACTCTAGGAAAAACTAATACAGACAACCGCTGGGAGAAATTCGGAACTGTATACCACAAACAATAATTGATGCTTGATTTCTAAAACTGAGATTTATATTTGTTAGCTGAAAGTATTAAGGCAGAACTGAGAGGGGGCGGGAACAAGAACTGATTGAATGATAGGTTCAAGTAGCTAAAGGCCTGCACCATTTTCTGATGCCCAGAAACAACACAGTCAGTACCTTCTAAAGCAAAAACAGGGAAACTGCTGAAGGACTGGACCATAACAAAATTCCAAAAGTTCAGTAAATATCGAGTGGTAGGAGGAATTAATTCTGTGATCCATCGGTCCATCATAGGACAAGAAATGTCAGCCAGTCTTTTGATGAGTAAATGATGAGATTTATGACATTACGTTTCCTTTTACACTCGGATGAACTCTCCATGATCTTTGCCAAAACTTTGAATTATGGAAACATGATCATTTTACTTGTAATTTGGGTTAATATACCATGCCGCATTATCCTGGAGATTCCAGGAGCTAAAGATGGTCCTCCAGCATAATACAGCCAGTAAAAGTGGAGAGAAGTCAGAAGGGTTGATTTCTAACAAAAAATACATCATTTTCTTAAAATGCTTTCACTTATTAATTTATAAATTTGGTGAATGAAAAAGCAGTTTGACTCACAGTGATGGACTATCCAATTAGACAATTGGGGAAAATCACATCACTGCCAGGACGGATAGTTGGGTGACCAATGGTGGAAGTGGGGTGGGGCAGTTAGAGGCAGGAGGTTATTGTCTGAAAATGCATCCAACCAGAGTTGGCAACCCTAATTGTACATGACTTGGTCCACACCTATCTCTCACTCTGTTTAAATTAATGCTGGATAGATTGAGTGATAAAAGAAGTGATTTCAATTTTCATGATCCCATCATGGAGAGTTCATCTGAGTGTAAAAGGAAACCTCTAAAAAAGCCTCTTAATCTTGTCCTGATCTGCTTCAGCTGGGTGTTCTATGAGAAGCCAAATTATAAAGGGAAGAAGTTCATATTTGAAGAGCAGGATGTAAGGTTGACGGATCCCTGGAGCGAGGAAGTTGAAGAAGAGACTGAAGATCCTGACTCCAAGCCACCTCCTACCAAATTCATCGTCATTGGTTCCCTCAAAAGAGTAGTCAGGGTAAGCAAAGCATGGAAAATGATTACCTTTGTGCATTTTTTTTACTTAACTATCAGGAAATGGGTGTCACTGGTTTTACATTCTTCCAGTTGAAAATTTAACAATTACACACCAGGATTGGTGAAACAGTAATGTGGATCCTTTATTTGAAGAAAAGATTATTTGCAGATCATTTTCGCTGGGAGTTAAGTTTGGTATATATGATCTCTTCATTGCTGTTCGGACTGCCAACAAGTCATGGGATTAATGTATCACACCCTTTGAAGTGGATGGTGGTTGTCAGTAATTTAAAATGCACCCTGTTATGCACATGTTCCAACAATTAACAAAGCCTCAATTCATGATAGGGAGACACTGACTTGACTTACTGCAGTATGTTTATCTTTGCACTACTTTGATGCAACTGAACAGCCTGCTAGGCCACTTCAGTTTTCATTCAACTACATCAGTGTGGGGCTGGTGGGGTGTATGATGGCAGGTTATCATCCCTAAAGTGACATGCCTGAGTCAGTTAAGGTATTTCCAACAAGGCAATGGCTTCGTGTTAACTTTCATACATAGAAGCATTCCAGATACTTTAGACTGAAATCAAACTCTCAAGCAGCCCTGGTGGGACTTGAACTTGCATTCTCCTGATTACCAGTGAGCCAAGATATCAATTAAGAGATCCCCAACGACATCGATTATAAGTAGTTGAAACCCTGGAACAATTGTCTGCAGCAAACTGCATTTTTTCAGAGTTTCAAGTTTGATTGTGGACTGGCCAATAAACCTTAACTTCATATTAACAGGGATCCCTGCCTAAAGTGTCATGTGCATAATAGACCCTCCACTTTCCAGTCCAAGCAAAAATAAACAATGACAACAACAACATCAATAGCTTTCATTTCTTTGCCCTCTTTAATGTAGTAAAAGATCCAGAGGTGCTTCACGGGTGAAATTATCAAACAAATTTTAACATTGAACTACATTAGGAGATAGTAAGACAGGTGACCCAAAGTTTGGTCAAAGGCAAAGGTTTTAGGGGCTGACTTCAATGAAAGAGGAGAGGTGAAGAGGGAGAGAATTCCTGAACTTAAGGCTTTGGCAGCATAGCAGACCATGGTGAAGCAATTAAAATTCAGAGTGATTATGAAAACAGAATTAGAGGAAGACAAAGATCCCAGAGGGTTTTCTGCTGGAGATAAGTTGGGGAGGGTGGTGTGAGGGTGAGAGTGACAAGAGCAAGGTAAGTTAGGACTTAAAATGGTGAAACACTGTTTCACACACACAGGCTCATGTCAAACCAGAACTCTCTCCCCAAAGGCTGCAGAAACTGAGCGCCAATTTAAATTTTCCAAGACCTTAACTGTTGGTCAAAGTATGTACATTAAGGCAAGTAAATGGAGATAAGACACAGATGGGGCATGATCTAATTGAATGGTAGAAAATGTTTGGAGGACTGAGTGGCTGACTTCTATTTGTATGAAGTTTGATGTATCCTGAATATTCCGCACATCAGTAAAACTGATGAGGGAACAGGAAACGGTGGGGCTGAGTGAGGCCGGTATGCTTGAAAATGGGCCTGGCCTATTATTATGAGATTGAGCTAACACAATTATCCAGCACATTGACCGACTCATAACTAATACAATCCTCCTTTCATTTTGGTCCCCAAACTGTGATTTAAAAGTACTTGAGTAACTTCTTTTGGTTTCTCTGTCCCAATATCCACACTACAAGCACAGGGCTGTACTGAAGAGCCGTTCAAAAGTGTTTAAAAGCTGCCTGCTCTTTAACACTGGGACATGAATTTGGGTATCTAAACATCAAATCCCCAAACTACAGGTGTGAGGTAACAACAAAGACAACTTGCATTTATAGGCAAGTTTTAACATTTGTAAAATGTTCCAAGACAACTTACAGGAGCTTGGCACCTAACTGCATAAAGTCCCAGATGATCACAGAGAAACTCTCTAATCAGACAGTTACAGCTGGTGGTGGTTTAACTTGAAGTCACCACACCTCAGGTGGGGAGGTGGTGGGGTGGCGGGGGGACAAGGTTGAGAAGGTAGGATCTTCACGGTAATTGTTGCTGGTACAGGAATTGAACCTGTGCTGTTAGCAATGTTCTGCATTGCAAACCAGTCAGCAAGCTAATTGCTACCCATGCTACCTGTGTAAACAGACACTTTTTTTTATTTCAAAATATACTTTATTCCTAGAAAGATCTTTTATAGACATACATCATCACTAAAGCAGATTGGTTCTGTACAGTAGCGTATATGAAGAAACAAACAAACATTTGAGTTTGACTTTATCCATCAAACAAATCCAAGTCATTTGTTACTTGTACAAGCCTATATTTTGGGCATCGGGGAGGGCGATCCGATAACTGAATAGACACCCCTTTAACTTTGGCAGAAAGATCTTAGATGGTAGTCTCTCCCCACTCTGCCTGGTGGCTCCTGCTGCAAGAGATATTTTTATTTCAAAAGTAGGCTTTATTCATAAAAAATATCATTGTAGATATACATAGTCACAAAAGCAGTTCGGTTCTGTAGAATAGCATATCAAGGAAACAAGCAAACATTGGAGTTTGACTCTATCCAAACAAACCAAAAACATCTGTTACGTATACAAGACTATATTTATGTGCATTTGAGGCACAAGGAGGGTCCAGTAACTGAACAGACCCCCATTTAGCTTCAGCAGGAATCCCCACCAAAGAGACAACCAGGACCTGTCACCAAAATCTTCACCAAAATGACCTGATTGTAAAGCGTGTCCTGTCGGGGGTGATCTCCATTGGCACTACTTCACCCTGAGGGCAGTGAAAATCTGCAATATTTCCCACCATCAACAAAACGACATGCCCAACCCACACCAAAAAGAAGATTGAAGAGACTGAGTGTCCATTGAAAATTCCAGAACAGAGATTGACAGATTTCTATTTAGTATGTTCTGAAACCAAGGCAGATGGATAGAATGCAGATACAGATTAGCATTGATTTACTGAACTGACGAAAAGCTTAAACAGCTGGATCAGAGTCCGTGCCCAGAGAAAGGTCACCTCTCTCTGCTGGCCATTCGAATCTGAAGTGAAATGAGCCTGAATAACCTCTTCCTGTTTCTATGGCTCTGTAAACCAGTGAAAGCAGCATACACAGCTGCATGTAGTATTAAAACCAGAGTAAAGTCTACAAAGAGGTGATCCATTAACAGTGTTTCCATACTGATTGAGCTTCATTACTCAGAATAATTCCACAACCTGATTGTTTCTTTGTGTTGCTCTTTCTTAGGACTACACCATACCTGAAATATCTTTGTTCCCAGAGGCTGATGGTGAGGGGAAGAAGCTTACGTTTCACTGTGAATCCGAGGATATTCGGATATTTGGGTATCCCCCAAGAACAACCTCCATCATTGTCAGTTCTGGACTGTGAGTCTCTCAGCATACTGTGTTTTAAACGGTCTCATTGGAGGAGGATCAATGGCTCGGGTGGTTTAACTGTGAACCTAGTGTGGCACGGAATGTTCCTTCTTCCTTTTCTATCCCTGTTAATGTCCTTATGCCTTACAGTGTCCTGTATGAAAGTGGTGAGCAGGACTCCATCCCATGTGTGTGAATGCCATAATGTGACTTTATGTGGGTATTGTTAGCAAAGGAAAGAGCTCACACTTGTATAGCACCTTTTAAAACCTCTGGCTGCTAATGGATTTTGGGACATGCTATTAAACTTGCTATTTTACCTTTTAGTCACTGTTACAATGTAGAAAGTGCACAGTCAGTTTGTCCACAGCCAGCTCTTATAAACAGACATGCACAATAATGACCAGGTGATTTTGTTTTTTTTGTCATGCTCACTGAGGGATAAAATGTTCACCAGGACACTCAGGTAGCTGTAATTATCAAGGCCCCCTCCTACGGGTGTTTCATTCCTCCCCACCCCAGCCTCCTAACCAACATCCCCATGCCCCACTGTCTCCACCAACCTTGGGCTTCATTGCCCTAACCTGCCATAAGACAGTCCCCTCCATGCTTAAGTAGTCCCAGAATCTGGAATTTAAATCTAGGGACTGCCATTGGCCATTGCTGCCATTTGCACTGCTGGACAGACAGAGCTACTAGCCTTCACTTTAGCTCTGATGAAGAGTCATATAGACTCGACACATTCGCTTGCTTTCTCTCCATGGATGCTGCCTGACCCGCTGTGATCTCCAGCATTTTTTTTTCAGAGCTATCAGCCAATTTGTTTGTTCAGCAGCCTCTGCCTGAGTTAGGAGTGCAACGTTTGTCCCTAAGCAATAAATTGTCTTCTAAGTGTTAAATGACTGTGGGGCTACTGCGATCGGCAGCGATGTGAACTGCTGGACTGGCAGGAAATTTCTGACAGTACAGTTTAAGGAACAGTTTAATGAAGACAAGAAGTTGGTAAGGTTTATGAAGGAAAGTTTAGAGATTAGATCTCTGACAGCTGAAGATAAGACCATGAATGGTGGAGTTATGGAAATCAGGGATGTCCAAGAGGTCAGATTTGGAGGAACACTGAGATCTTAGAGGTTTGTAATTAGGGGCCAATTCTTTTTTTTGGACAGGTCTCCTTGAGATTTTCTCAAGAACTACTTTTTGATTTTCAGGAGCTCCTTTTTCATTCTCAGTAACTTATTTATAGGGCAATGCAGTCATGTTGTAAAAATATCTTCTGTATTTGTGTTGGAAGTGGTATATTTAGGCTCTGTCAGATCCAGAATTAGAAGAATTCATCAATTTCCACAGTAAATATCAACCCTCCATGAATGTTATCTACAACAGCATTTAAATTGGCACAATATAACATGCATAAGTTGGCAACAAACATTTTCTTCGAAATAACTGATACATTGTCAGGCCTCACAGTTGCAGCTGTTCAGCTATCTGGGAACCAATCACATTGTTGTTGGCAGGCCGAACATCTTTGTCATCAATAACTGGTCATCGTTCACAGACCAATCAGCTGTTTGTTGCCAGTTGAACCTCCCTTCATACATGGCGCCTGGCTCCAGCTCATCTGCAGTAACTTTGACCCCACTGCTTAAACAAAAAAGTGTAAATAACAATTACCATGAGTGCTGGGAGCTGGCTTTTATAAAGTGCGACAATCCCTTCCACAATGCTTAGTTTTTAAAACAGACCTTTTCTCATTTCAGCCCAAAATCAAAAATACAGAAAAATAAAAAGAAATGGTCTTTACAACATGCACCTACTCACAAAAAGCCATTCCTAAACATTCCTTCCGCAGACTGCTGAGATCACAGCTGATATGTTTCCATTACATATGCAAAACACTGGGAGATTTAACCAGGCAGTTACTATCCCTGCTTTTTGCAACCAGATCTCAATCTCAGGTTGAAATGTAATAATTCGCATGGTGTTCATTGTAAGGGCAAATTTTCCATGCGTAGTAGCTCCTGATCATACACAACCTCAAGATAAAGATTCCACATTTCATTTACAAAGAGTTCATTACCTCAGTAACTTCAGATTTTTCTTGCTGTCAGTGAGCTGTATATTCCTTTGTTGATCAGTTTAAGGCTGTTCCCTCTCTTTTTTCAGCAGCCGCCTCCCTGTTCTTTGCAGCTTCCTTCTTTCCCCCTCCTTACAGCCACTATCTTGGTCGGCCAACGCCTCTACTTCTACTTCCCTCTCCCCCTCCCCCTCCCTCTCTTCACCCTTCCTCCCTACCCCCTGTCTCCACCTCAACCTCACCCGCTTCCCCCCAAACCATGACCCAACCCTGTGCTTCAACGAAAAGTGACTTTGAGATTCTGTCCCTTTGATGTAAGAGGATAACTTTTCTATAATTGGTCATTGCTGTAACTTAAATTTCCTAGGTGTTTCGGGGACATTTATGAGCAAATTTGCCGAGTGCCCTGTGTACTTTTAGTGCTGATTGTAAGGGTGCAGAGTGCTCAGGAGCCCAGGAGAGGGCAGGGATTACAGAGAGGATTTTGATCACGTGGTTGAGAATTTTCAAATTGATTTTAGAGGCTCCATGCTAATTTCTCTCTATTTCTGTAGGTGGTTTGTTTACTCTGAGCCTTTCTTCGAAGGCCAGCAAAGTATTCTGGAAGTAGGTGGCTATCGAACACTGGAGGAATGGGGAGCAGAGAAACCACAAGTAGGATCCCTGATACCTCTACAAATGGTAAACATGCAAACCCAAGGCAAAGTAAAAATATCATTGAAGGGATGTGAAGAGGGGTGTCAATATTGGCTGACTTCTCCAGAATAATGAGGTCAGGGCATGTATGTGTTAGCACCCAGCCCTAGTGGAGGAACCACTTATCCCACATCTCCCATTTGCTCCCTTGACATTACCAACAGGGAGGAAGCAACAGTGCCAGAATTATAACCCATCAGGTATACTTGAACATATTTCCCTCAGAAAAAGGGGAAATTGAGAGGAAACATGATGGAATTCCTCAGAGTTGTGGCATGGTGTAGGGGGCAGGGGGAACTTGGATGTTCAGAAAATGATGGGTATAAAGATTAAGGTAAACTTGTCACAGTCTCCCCAGACCATCAAGCTGCTCCCTGATTAGATAGAGACAAGTGGTGGTGGTTTAACCTGAAGGTCACCATGTCTCAGGTGAGGGGAGAGGCTGAAAAGGAGAATCCTTCATGGTAACCTTAGCCAGTGCAGGAATTAAACCCATTCTGTTGGTGTCACTTTGCATCGCAAACCAATCATCCAGCCAACTGAGCTGACTGACCTCCTTCTTGTGGGGTAAGAGCAAAGCAAAGGCCATAGATACAAGATCTAACAGATCAGGTTTTCCAGGTGGAGTTGTCAAGAATTGAGTGTCTTCTGTGATTTCTTTTCAGGGTCCGCCCAGGGTGGAGAAGCCTAATGAACCAATGGTAAGCAAACATCAAATGGAATTGATGGATGCTTCGTTGTGAAATGGTTAGATCGATGCATCTTCTGCGAGTGAAGCTTTTGGAGAAAAATGTTGCATTTTCTGGATTAATCCACACAAATTCCCTGTAAAACTGACAATGTGGGCAAGAGGGTCGTTTACCCTTTCTTTCCTACCCCTCACCACCACCAACCTTCTTGCCTCCATACAGGAATTTATTTGCTATCACCATTTGGTGAATGGTGAATTTATTGGTGAATTTATTTACCAGCACCAGTTCACTATTTGGGGCCACACAGTGGCTCAGTGGTTAGCACTGCTGCTTCACAGGATTCGATTTCACTCTTGGATGACTGTCTGTGTGGAGTTTGCACATTCTCCCCGTGTATGCGTGGGTTTCGTCCCACAGTCCAAACATGTGCATGTTGGGTGGAATGACCATGCTAAATTGTGTATAATATCCAGGGATATGTAGGCTAAGTGGATTAGCCATGAGAAATGCAAGGTCACAGGGATAGGTTAGGGGGTGAGTCTGAATGGGATGGTCTGCAGAGGGTTCGACTGCACCTGATGGGCTGAATGGCCTGTTTCTATACCGTAGGCATTCTATGATCAGTATTTATTGCAGTAAAGCTGGTGTAGTGATTCATAGTCCTAACCACTGCAATATAGCAATTTAATATAACTGAAGGTCTTGCTACATCCTCTCAGAGGGTAGTAAAGACATAACCAATCTTTTCAGAGATGTTGTTACACACCTCTGGAGCATATAGGACAGCACGGTGGCACAGTGGTTAGCACTAGAGCCTCACAGCACCAGGGACCTGAGTTCGATTCCAGCCTCAGGCAACTGTCTGTGTGGAGTTTGTACATTCTCCCCGTGTCTGCGTGGGTTTGCTCCGGTTTCATCCCACAGTCCAAAGATGTGTAGGTTAGGTGGATTGGCCATGCTAAATTGCCCATAGTGTCCAGGGGTGTGTAGATTAGGTGGATTAAACATGGGAAATGCTGGGTTACAGGGTAGGGGAATGGGTCTGGGTGGGATGCTCTTTGGAGGGTCAGTGTGGACTTGTTGGGCCGAATGGCCTGTTTCTACATTGTAGGGATTCTATGCATATAACACTTGAACCCAGACCCTCCTGAATCAAGGTAGGGACACTACCAGTGCACGACAACAGCCCTCCACTATTTATTTCCCTAAAGAGACATTTAGGATTTAACTCAAAACTGGCTGCTTTGTGGCCACTTTTGCTGATGCCAAGTTTTCATTTCTAGATTTAGGTGAATTTAGCTTCTCAGACTTTGTTTGGACTTCACATCATCTTGGTTATTAGTCCAGACTCCTCAATTGTTCTTGCAATACCATAATTACATTAACTTACTCAGATACGCTCCACACTGAACTGATGCAGGGACTTTTTAGGAGCACACCTATACAGCCATGCACCCTTGCCAAACTCGATCCTGTCCTGCACATTGAATCCTGGTTCTTCACCACCCGATGTTTTAAAATCTGTTGTTTTGTTCTAGATCACCATTTTTGAGAAGATGTATTTTGCTGGGAGAAGCAGAGATGTTTACAATGACTCCTCAGACTTCCTGTCCAGATATCCCAACACTGGCGCCGCTCTCTCAAACGCTGGCTCCATAAAGGTCTATGGAGGAATGTGAGTAACTAGCACAGAAAGGGGTTAATGTGGCTTTGTGACACAGCTCTCCAGTGAAAGTCCAGACTTATCTCTTTGGGGAAGGAATAACGAGGGACAAGGATGGGATTTCTAGCCCATCTTCCCCCTGCACTGACCACCCTTTCCCCCTACACTGACTATCCTTTCCCCCTACGCTGACCACCCTTCCCACTGCACAGACCCCCTTTTGGGTCAGGAGCAATTTACAATGGGGCTTTTGTTTTCAATTCACTTGTGGGTCATGGGTGTCGCTGGCTGGACCAGCATTTATTGCCCTGCCCCTAGTTGCCCTTGAGAAGGTGATGGTAAGCTGCCTTCTTGAACTGCTGAAGTTCACCTGCTGTGGGTTGACCCACTGCAAAGACTGCAAACGTTTTGTTGAGACTTTGTAGCGATTGCTACAACTGAGTGGCTTGCTTGGCCATTTCAGCGGGCAGTTGAGGGTCAACCACATTGCTGTGGGTCTGGAGTCACATATGGACCAGACCAGGTAAGGATGGCAGATTTCCTTCCCTAAACGACATTAGTGAGCCAGATGGATTTTCCCAGCGATCGACAATTGTTTCATGGCCATCAGTAGATTTGTAATTCCAGATTTTATTTTATTGAATTCAAATTCCACCAACTCCTCTGTTGGGATTCGAACGTTAGCTGAGTTTAGGGATTAATAGCCTAGTGATAATACCACTAGGCCATCACCTCCCCAGTATCAGTATCTGTATGTATATACTACATGAATAACCCACTACCACATGGAGTGGTTGAAATGAATAGTATAGAAGCATTTAAAGGGAAGCTCGACTAACAGTCCAGGGAGAAGAGACAGAGAGTTACAATGATAGATTTAGATGAAGAAGAAGGTTTGAGGAAAGCATAAGTGCTGGCATGGACTGGTTGGACCAAATGGCCTCTTTCTGTGCCATATATCCATGTAATTATCTATTGTATTACAGGCAGTGTGATGGTTTTCCATAAACCTTCCCACTGTGGATGTAATGACATGGTGTTAGCTATGGCTGGTGGACTGCACTCTCAGCCTGAGTCTGAAGCTTGACATCTCCAGTGCCGTTCTGATCGAGCGCTGCCACTTTCTGTTTGGACACGAAAACTTAGATTCCATTGGACTGATGCAAAGGATCCTCTGTGCCATTTTGAAAAACAGAGGAGTTCTATCTGATGTCCTGGGGCAGTAATTATCCCTCTGCAACATCTAACCCTCACCCTAACTAAACCGTCACTTATTTCAGTTGCTCCTTGTGGGAGCTTGCTGTGCACAGATTGGCATCCACATTTCCGATATTAGAACAGCAACCATATTTTGATTACATTTCATTAGATCTAAAGTGCTTGGAGTTGCTCTGAGGTCACAGAAGTTGTCCCTATCACACACTCCCAGGATAGGAAGAGCGCGGCGTTACATACAGAGTAAAGCTCCCTCAATTATTTTACTCAACAATGTTGGGTGGTGGTTTATTCATGAATTCACTGCTCTTTATATGCTTTACTCTGACTTGCTGATTATTTTCATTCATGTATTCTTGCAGTTGGGTCGGCTACTCAAAGGAAGGTTTCAGGGGTCATCAGTATCTCTTTGAAGAAGGCGAGTTCATGGACTGGAGGACATGGGGTGGCTGTGATGAGGATTTGAAGTCACTGCGCCTCATCCGGGCAGTAAGTATTGGGAAACAAGACAGATATTTCTTGTAAAGTGAAGGCAATGGTGCAGAGTTAAACTTCCCCATCTCCCCCTTGAAGGTCGGTGAGCATTTCTACTGTGGAGACGAGCCACAATCCATAGTCAATGTGCATTCTTTCATCTTGATCAGATGGTGGCACTACCTCCCAGCGTAATGCTGCACTGCAGGTGGCAGATCCACCAGCAGCATTCAGCAGGGAATCTCACAGATTTCCGAAGCCACAGAATGTCGGGAGCTGTTAGGAACGTTCTAGAGGAGATGGATTAATTGGATAGCTCTTTCAAAGAGCCAACATAGGCATGATGGGTCACAGAGTCTCTTTTGGAGGAGTATTATTCAATGATTGTGAGGTGTGATGCAGTTGGTCTTGGTGATCTTGGGGTTGGACAAGGTGAAATGAGCCAAGTTTGTTGCTTGTGAAGACTGCACGGTTTAGTGAAGTGATTGGGGTACAGCTGCTGCTGCTTTGCATGTGCCATGGAGGGGCTGGGCACAGCATTTGCCCATAATGAGCACTGACACCCCATTGTGGTATCCACATGGCAAAGCAAATGACTAACACTCCAGGTACAGACAGCAGGCTGATGACTAGACCTCTGCTCCCAATCATGTCACCATCGTCAGTGGGAGCACGAGAGCAGAGGGGTGGAATGAATTTGCAAAAAACAAAAGGGATCGTTTCTTTGCTTAAGTAAGTGTCAGTTGTTGAACAGAAAGTGTCTGCAAGTGACCCTGTTTGATGCCTTCTTTTGTTTTTTCAAAAGGAATTTTTCAACCCTGCGATTGTTCTGAATGACAGAAATGACAACGAGGAAAGTGATTCAATTATGATTACTGAGCCCATCCCAGACCTGGAGCTGATTAATGTTGGGGACCAAGTACAATCCATGAACGTTATGAGTGGAGTGTAAGTGACAGAACTAGCATGGGCTGCAAGTGGGCAATATATAAGAGAGCTGTTATCATTATGTATGTTTTGGCAACCATTTCCTTTGCTTTACAAACACTACTGTTCCCTTTGATAAGTACAGGTGGAACTTTCCTGTCCTGTGAAGTGGTAGGAATGACAGATAATTGGGTGTCTTGGTGCTGGGAGTTACTCACCCTTTTGCTGTCATTTGGAAATTAAATTCTGAGCAGGAAGGCCCATTGGTGAACTGCCCAGTCTACCATCAAATAAGGTCCGTAAATGGTCAATTAAAGACTTACTTGAGGATCTCCTACCACCTCAGCTGCAATTGCTTGGGTTCCAAGCAGGAAAGGAAAGAGCCCAGAGGCATTGGCCACATTCTGCAGACACTAGCCTCTGATTGGCTGGCAGCTCTAGGAGGGTGGGACTTACTTTGGGGTTTGTAACTCCAGCAGAAATCTCACCAGCAGCCAATCACTGCAGATTATCGTAAAATCCGACAGGCTTTCTGACTAAAGTAGGCCATGGCTTTCTCTCCACAAAACTCTTCCACTTTCAGACTTATCCGAAAAACAGGAAAATTCTACCTACTTTGTAAAATCTAGCACCCCCTGGTGTTAAAGGCACACCTACCATGCTGTAGCCTTTTTTTTCATTCACGGGATGTGGGCTTCACCGGCTGGGTCTTCTCTCATTTTCCTGGAGAAGGTGTCTTCTTGAACCATTGCAATTCATTCGGTGTTTGTCCACAGTACAGTTGGGGATGGAATTCCAGAATTTTAACCCAGTGACACTGAAGGAAAGATCATTTATTTTCCCCAAGTCAGGATAGTGAGTGACTTGCAGGGAACATGCAGGTGCTCCCATGTATATGCAGCCCTTGTCTTTCTAGAAGTGGTCATGTGTTTATAAGGTGCTGTCTAAGTGCATCTGATACGGTCTGCTGCTACTGAGCATCAGAGGCAAAGTTAATGACGGGCAGCACATCCACAAACAATCAAGTGAGTTGCTTTATCCTGGATGGTGTTTTTTTTTCACTGCTATTGGAGTTGCCCTCATGAGGCAAGTGGAGAGTATTCCATGTGACTCTTGACTTGTGCCTTGCTGATGATGGACTGGTTTTAGAGGCTTGTTACTCGCCACAGGATTGCTTAACTCTGACCTGCTCTTGCTCCCACTGTATTAATATGGCTTGTCCAGGTCACTTACTGGACAATGGGAGCCCTCAGGATGTTGATTATGAGGGGCACAGGGATAGCAATACCATTGAATGTCCAGGGGCAATGATTACCTTCTTGCATGTTGCAAATGGTCATTTTTGACAAAGATTGTATCAGATTTGATCTCTGGTGATCTAAGTTCAGTTGAATGCTAAAACCTGTCTCTAATACCTCAGATGCACATGGGAGATGTGGAGTTTTGTCACTGCTGACTGCTCACTGAGGGATGACTTGTTTTTTTTTTCAATGGGTGTGGCACCAATGCGTTCAGGTGTTGCCTGCAAAAGGCTCCATAGTCAAATAGCTGCCTGAGCTCATGCTGAAGGGAGGCATCTTGGGTGAGGTATAAGGAGGGCCAAACCCCAGAAAGAACATCCTACAAAAAAAACAAATAAGCTTAATATAGAAGTGAATAATTTAAGACCTTGAACTGACAGTAGCTGGGCTCAATGCCTAGAGAAGAGGGGTAGAAAAAAAGCTTTTCATTTCCCAGGAGTTGATCTTTTAAACCTGCTTTCAAATCTGAATTGAGCTGCTTCCTTGCAGGTAAATATTCATCATTTCATCTTTCAGATGGGTGGCTTACGAGGGTGTCAATTATTCTGGAGCTCAGTACATTGTCGAGAAAGGAATTTACCGGAACCCTCAGGATTGGGGTGGCCAGAACTGTAAGATTAGCTCCCTGCACCCCATCTTACTGGTAAGCAGAACTTTTACTTCAATACTGTGCCTGTTACAATCTTAATAATTGTGCCTGCCCCTTCCATTAATACCTTGGAGAAGAAACTGCTCTCTTCTGAGCTGCTGCAGTACTCCAGACAAATGCACTCTCCAGCTTGTGTCTAAGTTCTTCATCAATGCGGCATTTGAAGTTCCATCACCGTCCCAGGGCACAGGGGTAGTTAGATTACTCTGCAGGGAGTGAGGAGCACCATACGAACACCTAGGTTGGGCATGTTGCCTTATCAGGAAAGGTTGGACAGGCTAGGCTCATATCCAGTACAGTCCAGAAGAGTAAGAGGCAACTTGATTGAAGCATACAAAATCCTGAGAATTCTTGACAGGCCAGATGTAGAGAGGGTGTTTCCTCTTATGGTAGAATCTAGAACTCGGGGTCACTTTAAAAAAAAAATCTCCGATTTGAATCAGATGAGAGAAGTTTTTTTTGAGCGTCATGCATCTTTGAAACTCTCTTCCTGAAAGGGCAATGAAAACAAAGTGTTTTCCTATTTTTAAGGTGGAGATGGATAGATTCTTGGTAAGTAATGGTTGTTGGGCGGACAAGAATGTACCAGTTCAGCCAGAAGGAAGGAGGGGCAACTGTGAAGATTGACAGGTCAGGTAACAAATGGTGGGAGGGGTGATGTGATGGTGGTCATGTGATGAAAGTTCCAGGAAGACATTCATCTGGAGGGCCACTGCGGTGCAGTGGTAGTGTCTGTAGCTCTGAGTCAGTAGGCTTGGATTTGAGTCTCACCTGTACCAGTGCTGTGTCATAACACATTTGGACAGGTTGGTTAAAAATGTCGACATTCCAATGGAGTTAGCAACTCTTTCCTGGCCCAACAAAGGAGAGAGAGAACGTGAGATGGAGGAATTAGTGAGGATTTCTGTTAGTGGTTGCCAGCTGATGATCCCTTAGAGGAGAGTCATGTAGATGGCAATTGGGAACGGAACTCAAACATCTTGGACATCTCTTTAAGTATTGAGAATACGGCCAATACTTACAGCCTAGATACAGGTGGATTGAGCCAGGGAAAGGAACTGGGTGTCTGGGAAAGCTCTGTTGCTGCAAAGACCTTTGGGACTGAAGAAAGGAGAAAGGAAAAACTGGGAGAATCCGATCTTGTAGAAGCACAGTAACATTCTTCTCAAAAATCCCTTCCAAACAAGCGACAGGCTACTTGTATATTTATTTGTCACTGAAACTTGTTTTATTGGGGGCTATGGGTATGGGAGACACTTTTCACTCGGAGCTGCTCTGACCTCTATTGAGAAAGAGTTTGGACAGCCTGGGCCTCCTGTAGTGCCACAACGATGCCACCCGAAGGTTGCAGGAACAGCAACTCATATTCTGCTTGGGAACCCTGCAGCCCAATGGTATCAATGTGGATTTCACAAGCTTCAAAATCTCTCCTCCCCCTACTGCATCCCAAAACCAGTCCAGCTCGTCCCCGCCTCCCTAACCTGTTCTTCCTCCCACCTATCCCCTCCTCCCACCTCAAGCCGCACCCCCATCTCCTACCAACTAACCTCATCCCGCCCCCTTGACCTGTCCATCCTCCCTGGACTGACCTATCCCCTCCCTAACTCCCCACCTACACTCACCTTTACTGGCTCCATCCCCTCCTCTTCGACCTGTTTGTTTCCTCTCCACCTATCCTCTCCTCTATCCATCTTCTATCCGCCTCCCACTCTCTCCCTATTTATTTCGGAACCCCCTTCCCCTCCCCCTTTTCTGATGAAGGGTCCAGGCCCAAAATATCAGCCTTTCTGCTCCTATGATGCTGCTTGGCCTGTTGTGTTCATCCAGCCCTGCACCTTGTTGTCTTGGACAGCAGCAAGATGTTCCAGACATTGCTCAAGGGGCAAGCAAGTCATCGTTAACATTATTTTAAAAAGGAACATATACTGTAATCCAACAGGACATAGAAAACTTTCCTTCTTGGTTTTAAAAATAGTGTTTCATTTCATTAAATAATGTGGTGGGACCATTTAGCTCCTCAAGCCAGTTACACCATTTTCAGTTCAATCATTGCTGATGGGTGATTCATCCCCAGTTTACTGCATTTCCCTCCATACTCCTGTGTAAATCCAAACTAATGATAAAGGGACTGCCATGATGTTTGCCATATCTGCCATAGAGGTGCTCAACTGAGGGTCTATGGGTCCCAAGGCATCCAGGAGAGAATTTCAAGGCATTCCCTTTCACTTGAGGGTGGAGGGGGGAGTGAAGGACCCTACTTGTTTGGTTCCCAGGACTACACAAGTTGAATCCAGGATGGCTCCTTCCCTGTGACAGTGACCCTCCTTTGAACTGTGTTGTCTTATTCTGCACTTCCCTGAGTCACTCAGTCACCAGTGCCCACGCATACCCTCCCTGGGTATTGTCAAGGTTGGGAGACAAGCAGCACATTGGCCATCGCTGATAGTGTCCTGTCTGCTAAGGCTGATGGAGAAAATGATTAAAAATAATATGCCAAAAATGCACTTCAATTTTTTTCTAAAAACTTGTTAGAAACTAAAATAATATTAAACATTTATAATTATAAGCAAGGAATAAGCCTGGGCCTAAATAGAAAATGGGGAGAAAGGACTGAGAGGTTTAAAATTTCCTGTGATGGAGAGTAATGTGGTCAAATCAGAATGAGTATTGTATTTTGGGATGGGGCTACATACTGGAAACAAGTGAGTACCTGGCAGATCTCTGTTAAACACTGACAACACTTGGGCTCCAATGAATTTGGCAACAATTGCTCAGACAGCTCCCTCTGTGGGCAATGCCAGAAAAATAAACTGCTTTACTCTGTCGCAAGTATGACTGAATCAATTCTTCACCGCGCTTTATCCAATAGGTATCCATCAGTCTGCTTGTGGATAGGGATGCTGCATTTTCAACTAATGAATTCAGCTTCAGATTAAGTAATAATGCAAATGTCTCTGCAAGTATATTTTTCATTGTATAACTGCACTTTACACAAAGAAAAGAATTATGTTTTGCAGCAGGGAGCTGCATGGAAAGTTGATGACATGGGAGGGGACGGAAGCAAACATGTTGAGAGAGACCCTGACTAAACATGTTTCATGATATATGTCCCTGAGAGCTGGGGGTGGGGTGGGAAATAGGTTGTGGCATAAACATTGGCTGACCAACAATATGTGACACCGCCTTGTGTTTTGTGTGTTCAGGTGGAGCCAAGCAATCCTCAGTTCAGATTGAAGGTAAGTATCATTCACTTCAGTTTATTTATTTTGTAAGCGAACTTGAGTTAGCTTTATCACTCGAGGCTGGGTGTGAAAGAACACAGAAGGTACTGTGAACCTTTTTAAAACACTGGCTGGACTCTAGCTGGAGTATTGTGTCCATTGCTGACCACCACTCTTTAGGAAGGGTGGCAAGGCTTGGAAGAGAGATTGACTTATCTGGTACCACTGATAAGGAACTTTAGTTCCACAGTGAGACTGGAGCTGTTTTCCTTCAAGCTGGGAAAGCCAAAGAGATTTCTGATAAAGGGATTACAAACCTTGAAGAGTTTTGATAAGATTAATGGGGTGAAATTATTTACATTGGCGGGCAGGTCAATACCGGAGGATACAGATAAGATGATTGACAAAAGAATCAAAAAGTTCTTTTTTCCTGGAATAAGCTGCCAGATAGGGCAAAGGGAGCAGACTTAATAGGGAAGGAAATTTCAAAGGGAAAAGATTTGCTTGGTTCTAGGGAATGATTTGAGGACTGGGAAAATTTGTGCAGGTCCGTCAGAAAGCTGACTACTCCAGGCACCAATTTAGAGCAGACAGCAAGAGGAACCTCTACGTGGAAAGTTCTGGAATTCATTTCTAGGTTAGTGGTTGAGGCAAAAACTAAGTCAACATTCAAAATTGGATTGAATAGATAGCCAATATTCATCTTCATACTAAAATCACTCAAAACTGCTTATCAGGCCAAGATCATATTATTGTTTGTGGGAACTTACTGGATATATGTCGATTGCTGATTTCTTACATTACAGCAATGGCTAAATATAAAAATATATTTTTTAACAGCAGAAAGTGCCACATAAGTGCATTTATTTACTTTTGTTTTAAACAAGCCCATGGAGGCACTAAAACCAAGAAGGATGGACAGATATGAGAAAGTGCCAAAATGAAGAAACCACATGCCCCAGACTAAATTTGTGACTGGCTACATATTTTTTCCTTCTCACTTCTTTTTTAGCTGTTTTTAAATTGCTGATGTTGAAATTTCCCTTCGCTCTGTTGCTACCTTGGTCCATGGGCAATTTAAATTTAAATTTAAATTCTTTCCATTCATCACAAAGATAAGGGCCTACCCAGAGGTCGAATACGGTGGACGCTGTCTGATGATCGAGGGGGAGAAGTTGAGGATCCCAAAAGATTTTAAGATGCAGTCTTGCAGGGTCCTAAATGGCAGGTAAATGCAGTTGATTGATGCTTTGCAATATGTCACAACAATGTGGTATGTGTAAATTGAGGAGTTAAACCTGGTGTCCTGACCAATAGTTTGTTTTAATCAGCGTCCCTAAAATGGATGGGTCTGGCCATTATCAATTTGATATTATAAAACAAAGAACTGTGGGTGCTAGAAATCTGAAACAAAAATAGAAATTGCTGGAGAAACACAGCAGGTCTGGCAGCATCTGTGGAGAGAAAGCAGAGTTAACATTTCAGATCCAGTGACTTTTCTTCAGAAATATCACTTTTTGATATTTGTGGGAGCTTGCTTTGTACAAATTACATTTCAGCGATGACCACACTTCAAAAAGAGTACTTAACTGAGTTTAATGCAGTTGGAGAAGTCCTGAGTTGTCAAAGACACTATATAAATGCAAGTCTTATCTGATTACATCCCCACAATCACCCTGCTACCCGCAATTGTTACCTGGGACCAGTTTCATAAATAAACAATATAATAGAGCCTGTGTTACACCCACACCTGCACACTTCAGCTCAAATTATTTGCCAATTAAGTCACAAAGTGCTAAACGATATGGCTACATTGAAGGCCGTAGAGGATCAGATACCTCTCAGTAAACAGAGCAACGGCATGGCTGTTTTAATCAATGAACACTAAATGTGCTGAAATATATAGTGGAAAAATTGAGAAGTAGGTTGAAAATTAAATTAAATTCCCTACAGCATTGAAGCAGACCAATCAGCCCATTGAGTCCACACCGCCCCTCCAAAGAACACCACACCCAGACCCACCCTATAATTCCCATGGCAATCCACTCAACCTACACATCCCTGGACACTATGGGCAATTTAGCAAGGCCAATCCATATAAACTGCACATCTTTGGAGTGTGGGTGGAAAGTGGAACACTACAGGAAACCCACACGGACAGTCGCCCGAGGGTGGGATCAAACCCTTGCGCTGTGAGGCAGCAGTGCTAACCACAGAGCCACAGTGCTGCCAGAAAATGGTTCAATTTAATGTCATATTAAATACAGAAGAGATCTGGAAAGGTAAAGAAAGATTGGATTGAAGAAGTTTGAGGAGAGAGACAGCAAAATGTTTTAAAAACAAAGGTTAAAAATTGATACACTTCTAAAAGTTCGCAAAGTGAATCACAATAAAAAAGGGATGAGGAATGCACACTTAATCTCATCAGCATTTTCAGTCACCCTTTTAATTATTATCCTTAAATATTTGTAACAAATTAAGTTGACACCAATCATACAGCAACTTCATCCTGTTCAATCACAGACAGTGAGATACTGTTTACACTGAAGCGGTATAACTATAACAGAAGCATTTGACTATTGATGAGAATAGTGGGGTTTATCTCTCTGATTGAGAATGGGCTATGTTGTGGTTTATGCTCAAGTGAGCCTCCTACCAACAGTCTTACCCGAACACTAATAATATGTCCTTCTGTCCCTTTTGGTCTCAGTCCTTTGCTGATGCTGCAGTTTTGTCAATGGAGACCCAGCAAGAACTCCCTGTCTGACTTTTCACCACTTCACCAGCGGTGTGCAGCCACTTGTGTCTCTGCTGCCCAGCTCCCCACACTGGCATTCCAAAGCACTGCACGTTCTGAGCACAAATCTTCCATTTTTTCAGAACATGGGCATACCATTCAGAGCCTCAACTGTTCCACATTTCAATAATATTTGGGTTGAATGTAGCTCAGCTCCATTTAGTCAATGTTGCTGCATATGCCATAACAACCTGATCTCACAGAAAAATGTGTCATATTTTATCTTAAAAACTCCATTTGGCCCCTCCATGAATCCTTGGGTGAGAGTTCTAGGTTTTCATGATTTTTTGCATAAAAAGGTTGTGAAAGGCTTGGCTCTAGTTTTAAGATTTTTTTTTCTCTTGTTTTGGAGAAATATGTATCCATTTATCATTTTTACATCACAACCAGAATAACCTTCTTTCTTCTAGACTCAAGAGAATATGAACTAAAAACTGAAAGAACTGCGAATGCTGTAAATCAGGTACAAAAACAAAGTTGCTGGAAAAGCTCAGCAGGTCTGGCAGCATCTGTGAAGGAAAAAACAAAGTTAACATTTCGGGTCTGGGTTACCCAGTTCTGAGGAAAGGTCACCAGACCCGAAACGTTAACTCTGTTTTTTCTTTCATAGATGCTGCCAGACCTGCTGAGCTTTTCCAGCAACTTTGTTTTTGGTCAAGGGACTATGTTTAATCTGTGCAATCAGATGCCATAAGACAACACTTCTGATCGAGATGTCCCATAGTGGAATAAAACAAAAGCTACAGATGCTGGAGAACATTCAGAAGAAATATCTCTGGACTTGAAACATTAACTCTATTTTCTCTCCACAGATGCTGCCAGACCTGCTGAGTGTCTCCAGCAATTTCTGTTTTTTGTTTATTATCATTTCTGTGCTGTACCTGCTCCTGAGGTTGAGTATCTTGGATTAAAGCTGTGGGAGATCAACCGTAGACTTGGGGACCGGTTTGAGGAGCACCTGCGCTCTGCACGTGCCAACCAGCCCAACCTTCCAGTTGCCATCCACTTTAACTCCCCCTCCCACTCACCTGGTGACATATCCATCCTTGGCTTCCTTCACTATCAGAGTGAGGTCAAACGTAAACTGGAGGAACAACACCTGATAGTTCACCTTGGGAGCTTACAGCCCAATGACCTGAATATTGATTTCACCAACTTCAAAATCCCTCCACCCCCAACCTATCCATTTTCCCACTCACGTATCCGCTCCACACTTCCCACTGACCAACCACAATAACCCCCTACCTGCACCCACCTATCTCCATCCCACCTATCCCACCCCCCATTTATTTCTGGGCTCCCCTCCCCCTCTCCAGTCCTGATGAAGGGTTTCAGCCCGAAACGTTGACTTCCCTGCTCCTCAGATGCTGTCTGACCTACTGTGCTTTCTCAGCTCCACATTTATTGACTCTAGATGATTGCTGAACAAGGCTCTAGAAATGAAACACTCTTTCTTCCTAACTCCATTAAAATCCAATTTTCATTTTTTGTTGACTTGTTCTACACTTATCTAGCTTCCCTTAATATATAAGGAGTAAAAGGATATATCAGTAGGATTAGGTTAAGAATGTTGATAGCAGGCTCACTTGGAGCATAAACCACAACATTGACTAGATGGGCTGAAAGGTCTGCTTCTGTGCTCAGTGTAGGTCTGTTCTTGCAATCCTGCTGATTGCCACAGCTCTATGTTCCACGAGAATACAGTGTTCACCAATCCAAGCATGTATTGTCTTTCAGCTGGGCACTGTATGAGGGCCAGGACTACAATGGGAGAGTCTTTGTGGTTGGTGAGGGAGAATATCCAGATCTCCCATCGATGGGCTGCAGGGTGACTGCCCACATCCGCAGTGTGAAGGCCATCCCACATGTAAGTCTCCATCACTGGCAGCTGCAGCTTCCTTGACTAGAGTTTGGGTCACCTGACCTAACACCTCATGTGACTTGATGTGAAACTTTGTTCATGTTCCAGTGCAATGGGACAGTTCACTGTATTTCATATGCTATGTAAATGCAAGTTGTTGTTGTGTGTGGTTCACGACTAAAGGAGGAGCCAGCTCATTATTCTAACCAAATGGTTCAGTTGGTGAAGGACATTTGATTAAATTTACCGTTCTAGACAGAGGTGTTCCTTGAGGGACCACTTTAACATCCTTCTCCTCCTCCTGGAGGTGATTGGGTGGAATGGGAGTTGTCAGAACAATCTGTTCACGGCTTTTCCACAGGCTGCAAGGGAGGCCTCATGAGTAAATTCAGATTGAGACCCTATCATTTCATGAGTAACTTGACACACTTTTCACCAGGTATTAAGCAGTGACGTTGTTGGGTCTCCTTTGGCTGAGGCTGAGTTCGCTCAGTTAGGAGTTTAGATTTTTTAGGTTCCTCACAAAGCCGGAGAGACTGCTGGTCAGTCTAAGTGATGGAAAGAAAGTTGGGTCCTTGAAATGGTTCCTGGCTGAAGCACACGCTGGTGTATTCATTGCTAAAACAATGAATGAACTGTAAGACACCACATAGGAAGCAAGAGTATCCACAAAAAAAATCTCAGCCTTTTGTTGCTCCATTCCCCAGCCACACGCTGTGATCCACACAACTCTCCTGGATGATCAAAACTTTGTGATCAGCCTGACTGGAGTTTGGCAACCAGTAACCATCTCAGTCTTTACAGGCCCAAGGCCAGCAAGAAGCAGCTGGGCAGTGCGATGTTATGAACTGACAGGCTGAGTAATCCAGAGTTCCTTCCTCCAGAAAGTAATGTCGTTGATATAATACAAGGGTTTGAGGAGGTGGATGTGGGGAGGGGTCAGACACTAGTGGTCATGAATTATACGGTAGCCCACTGTTAAATCCGACAATGAATTCAGGAGAAACCTCTTTACACAGGGAGCAGGGAGAATGCGGAGTCTGCTACTGTGGAGAGTGGATGAAGCAAGTGGAATAAATGTATTTAAATTTAATATCAACAAATGGGGCTCAGTTTTAAGGTCCCACTCACCACCCCACCCTCTCACTATCAAAATGTATTTCTTCGGGGGAGGGGGAAACACATAAAATCTGTCAGTCGCCAGCCCACACCTTCCCACCTAACCTCGAGCCATTCCCCTTAATATGATAAGTGGGGGGGAGCTCCCATTGAGTGAAGATTAGCCTCTGCATTTGCCTAAAATACTACAGCGTTCAGCTTCTGAAGCAAACTTTGGAGATTTCTGTCCTGTTCCTATCTTCCTATCTCAGCCACATGGAGTAAACAGTCGTCCAATGGGGTTATCCCACTTGAATAGCTGTGAAGGGCTTTCACACTTCCTGAGGTTACTATATAAATGCAAGTTCTGAGGGCTCTTATGGTGCAGTGGTACTGTCCCCACCTCTGGGTCAGAAGACCCAGGTTCGAATCTCACCAGCTCCAGAGGTGTGTCATAAATGTAAGGTTATTCACGTTGGAAGCAAAAACAAGATGGTAGATTACTACCTGAATGGCTGCAAATTAGGAGAGGGGGGTGTGCGGTGGGACCTGCGTGTCGTTGTGCACCAGTTGCTGAAGGTAAGCATATAGGTGTAGCAGGTGGTAAAGAAGGCAAATGGTTTGTTGGCCTTCATTGCAAGAGGTTTCGAGTACAGGAGCAGGGATGTATTATTGCAGTTGTACAGGGTCTTGGTGAGACTACGCCTGGAAAATTCTGTGCAGTTTAGGTCTCCTTTTCAGAGGAAGGATGCCCTTGCTCTCGAGGGAGTGCAGCGAACGTTTACCAGGCTGATTCCGGGGATGGCGGGCCTGACGTATGAGGAGAGATTGACTAGGTTGGGTTTGTTTTCGCTGGAGTTCAGAAAAATGAGAGGGGATCTCATAGAGACTTATAAAATTCTAACAGGACTGGACAGGGTGGACGCAGGGAGGATGTTCCCAATTGTGGGTGTGTCCAGAACCAGGGGTCACAGTCTGAGGATTGAGGGTAGACGATTTAGGACGGAGATGAGGAGACATTTCTTCACCCAAGGAGTGGTGAGCCTGTGGAATACATTACCACAGGAAGTATCTGATGCCAAAACATTGAATGTATTCATGAGGCAACTAGATATAGCACTTGGGGCGAATGGGATCAAAGGTTATGGGGAGAAAGCAGGATTAGGCTATTGAGTTGGACGATCAGCCATGAATGGCAGAGCAGGCTCGAAGGGCCGAATGGCCTCCTCCTGCTCCTGTCTTCTATGTTTCCATCTCTAAACAGGAAAATTAAACAAATATCTATCAGTACAAGCTCTTCCTTGAGGAGATAGTTCCTTTTGGAAGTTCTTTTAAAAATCTGCATCACTCACAAGAATTAAGTTGAAAGATGTGCCTGAAAAGCAGGGTTTGAATGTGAAGGGAGTGGAGCAGAGAGAGTAATGTTGGAGCTAGTACATGGCCCATTGGTTTACCATTTGTCTTGCACAGGTCTTCTCCGAGCCTTCACTCACTTTATACAGTTTGGAGAACTTTGAAGGAAAAGAGATCGAACTAGACTCTGAACTGAAGAATCTGGTCGCCGAAGGTTACAACAGTCTAGTTCTGTCCCTCCGTGTCAGTGGTGGTGTGTAAGTATGGAATGGGTTTTAGTGACCAATCCCTTTTTTATTTGATTGTCTTTAGAAATAAAGTTATTTTCCAGGATGAATATTGTCAGCTAATTACTTGGATGTGGACTTTTACTCATCATCTATAGCGAACAGAATCTCCAAATATGTGACCAAAACTATAGCAAAGTATCCCAAAGTATAGCAGGATTATTTCTCCAGAAAAATGCGGTCAGTGGCGGATGTTGACAGAATATCAGTTTTGTAAAATCAACCACCTCCAGGTTTGAATGATAGGAATGACCCATTCGTCCCCATTGTGACCGGGGTCTATGGTATCACCATTAACAGCACTTCTTCCCCTCTTTCACAACCCCTTGAATGTTTGACCTTTACATCCTGAAATTCACACACTGGTTATTCCTGTTAATCAGATCAGACAGATTTATAAAGCTGAGTAAGGGTGGGATTCATACAGACTTCAGTCTGTTCCTATCTAGACCACATTGAGTAGGCAGGCATTGACTGAAGGATATGGTTTCTCCAGCCAGGGACCTCTAATGGGTCTGTCAGATCTAAGTGGCCCTTTGCAATTCTTGAAGACCTGTCATAGGAATGCAGTGGCAACTTGGGGAACAGTATTTGTTGTCATCTTAAACATTTGACCAAGAGACTTACGGGACAAATGAGAAACAAAACCACAAACGTATGGTCAATTCACTTTTTAATAGCATGGGAAAGAATCTTTCCACTTGAAAGTGGTTTATTTTATTTGATTGCTCATGATCTTTGACACTGGTTATTCAAGTAATAAGGCCAGTCTCCAATTACCTGATGCATTGTCTCATGGGTCCCACATAGAGTTACCAACTCTGGGTGGATGCATTCCTGGAGGTGTCATGCTGCCTCCAATCATCTTGGCTCAATGCTCTCATTGGCTCCCTGACAGGGAAGGTGGTGGCCTAGTGGTATTATTGCTAAACTGTAAATTCAGAACCCCTGCTAATGTTCTGGAGACCCAGGTTTGAATTCTGCCATGGTAGATGGTGGAATTTGAATTCAGCAAATATCTAGAGTTAGGAGTCTAATGATGACCATGAAACCATTGCCGATTGTCAGAAAAACCCATCTGGTTCACTAATGTCCTTCAGGGAAGGAAACTACCATCCTTACCTGGTCTGGGGTTTACATGTGACTCCAGACCTACAATGTGGTTGACACTTAACTGCCCTCTGGCCAATTAGGGATGAGCATAAAATATTGGCCTGGCCAGTGATGCCCAGGTCCCATGAATGAATAAAAGAAAGTGGTCCTGTCTTCTCAGGACCAATCAGACAGTGAACAGGCTCTTCCATGTCTGATTGAAAAGAATCAAAAATCATCCATCCAGTCTTTTTTTTCCTCAGCTCAAATATTTTTATAACTGAAGGACAATGTAGGTTAACTAAAATGTGAGGAAAAAGCATTAATTTAGTTAACATTGGTGTGAATTGTCTGTTGCATTACTTGCAGTTAACTCTTCAATGTCCAGAGGTTCAGAACAACGCTGGAAGTTCAGGAATTCTGACATTGATCTGTATAGTTGGAACAGTCTCAAACTGCGAGTGGCTAAACAGTATGAGGCTATTCCACATGCCCACTTGGGTACATTGCCATTGGAATGTAACTCCCTGTTACAAATGCCTCAAGTTAACACCTCAAGCCTGTCAATTCCATGTGATCACTTCATGATGTAAGATTTCCAGGCACTCCCACCCAAAACCAGTGTCAGGCTACACAGAACCCTAAAGGTTAAGAGCATTAAGAGAGCTGGCATATCTTGTACACTGTCACTGATGCTCACTCTGTTTATCTTTGCCGTCTGTAGCTGGGTGGTTTACGAGCACAACAACTTCCGAGGTCGCCAAGTGCTCCTGGAGCCCATTGAGATTTCAAACTGGCCCAAGTACAGCGGCTTCTTGAGGATTGGATCCATAGCACCAGTCTCACAGGTTAGTGCCGAATCCAATGCTTCTAGTAAATGAGCAGCTAAGCATAAACTCCCATAATCCCAACTTCCAAACTCCAAGCGCACCTCAACCAAGTTGTTATCATAATCCTGTAAACCAGCAGCCCCTCCGATCCCGGTCTGAGGGATATGGGTATAACCTGTGGGATGTCTGCATTTCTCCTGCCTTCACTTCCTCCTACAAATAAAATCAAACCTTTTTATCTCCCAAATATAATTTGCTGGCTCACCTTCTCCTACCTGTGTTATTCCTTGCTAGGGGCTCAGTACTTCAACCCTGTACTGAGTACTACTCTCTCACTCCTGTTGCGTGACAGTTAATACAAATGCAAAAGTGGGTATTGGGGTAGTGCAAAGAATCATCACAACTCTGCCTTGCTAACCACTCTCGAGGGTAACACCTAAATATCTTTGACTTTACAGAAACCTGCATTTTTCCACATCAAGAACAAAGAGACTAATGATCTCCTGTCGGTCACTCTGTGTCAGGAGGATGTGAAGTCTGGACGGGTCATTGTTGCTCCAGAGAGTAAGGAACTGGCGCAGCTCTGGTTCTACGAGAACGGGCTGCTGAAACCCAAAGTAAGAGACTTGTTGTGCAAGAGACTAGTGATGTTCAAATGTCAGGGTATGGTGCTGGGGGAGGCTTAGGCTGTGTGCAGACTGTATAGCCACCTCACTGGATACAAATAGACCAAGGCTGATGGTTTCACCTTGTTGATATCAGGACAGGAATGGGCTCTGCCATTTTGCCCACAAAAAGCTCACTTTAACTTGTACACCTTCCAAATGGCCTTCAAAACAGGAGGAAGACTGATTCCTGCAAACTGAGGCGAGATTTGGCCTGATCTCAAAGACTGACAAGTTGAAACGTAATGCAGTAGTGGGTGGACTTGAAAGTCTGTTTGAGTACAGTCTAGAATCATCTCGATGAAGGGAAAAGAGTTTGCATCCAAAACCAGAAGTTCCTCAATGAAGAAATACATGGAGAACGAATTGAAGCAGCAAAAGAGGAGCAGAGATATCAGCTTGAGAATACACAGGAGAATCAGGCTAATGACAGTATAAACATACAGTAGAGAAATGGAAGAGAAAGTAAGGACAAATCAACAGATACAGGAATAGATTGGAGGAGAATGTAAAGGAATTAACGGTCTTTTATAGACAGTTTAAGGGAGTGGTGGCATTGTTGATATGTTACTGGATGAGTATTCTAGAGGCCTGGCTTAATGATGTGGTTGTATGAGGTCAAATCCAACAAAGGCAGAATAAAATCTCTCATCATTTTAGAAAATCTGGAATAAAAAGTGACTCTCAGTAATGATGTTTATAAAATTGATGTTTTCTCACAAACAAGTTAATTACCTGGCCTGGTCTATATGTGACTATAGACCTATACCCACCTGGTTGTCTCTCTGGCTTGCCAAGACATTGACTACCATTCAGTATGCAGCTAATTGCAATGTCAACAATGACCACACTCATGAAGTTCTTTTGATAACAGGAAAGGCTTGTCTGAGAAACGATTGGGCTAATTAGATGAAGATCTGTTGATAGGAAACAGGAGTAAGCCATTCATACCTTCGAGCCTGTTCCTCCATTCAGTGAGATCATGGCTGATCTGTGGCCTAACTCCTTCTATCTGCTTTTGCCCACATCCCTTAAAATCTTTGCTTAATAAAGATTTCTCTGTCTCAGATTTTAAATTAACAGCTAATCCTGCATCCACTGCCATTTGTGGGAAAGAGTTCAAAACATCTACCACTCTATGTCTGTAGAAGTACTTTGTAACATCCCTCTGAATGGCCGGGCACTAATTCTCAGTCTATGCCCCCTAGTTCTAGAATCCCCAACCAGTGGAAATAAGTTATTTTTATCTGCTCTGTCTTTTCCTGTTAAGACTTAAATCAGATCACCCCCTAACCTTCAAAATTCTAGAGAAAACAGGCCTCATTTGTATAATCTCTCCTCATAATTTAAACCCTGAAGACCAGGTTTCATTCTTGTAAACCTGCATTGTATCCCCTCCAAGGCCAAAATATCTTTCCTAAGGTGCAGTTCACAGATCTGCTTAATGTACTTACTATGCCACAGTTACAGAGGTTGATGGCAGCTACCAACTAAATATGTTGCATCAGTGTTTTCTTAGGAAGGGGGTTGGTACCATAGGACTGTAGGATTGCAAATGCTGCTCACAACAAGAGGAGAAGGATACACACAACAACTACAGACCAAGCTGTTTTGACATCAGTGATGGGGAAGCTGTTGGGAGCAATGATCTGGGAGAAAATTGGTAGCTACTTTGACAAGCCTAAGCTAATTAAGGAGAGTCAGCATGGATTTGTTAAGGGATAGTTGTATTTTTCTAACTTGATTTTCTTATTATGAAAAAAAACAACAATTTGCTTTGATAGATATTTCTAATCAACGTGTTCAGGGATATCATGACACATCTCTGGAGTAAGTGGGACTTGAACCCTAGCCTCCTGGTCTGGAGATAGGGGCATTACAACTGCCCCACATGAGGCTCTTGACTGTATTTTTTTTTAATGAGATGATAGTGCTTATGGATGTGTGTATTGTAATTAATGTGTATATGGACTGGGAAAGGAATTTGATAAATTGGCACACGAAAGGCTTATTAGCAAAATTAAAGCCCATAGGATAAAATCAACATGGAAACAAAATTGGCTACAGGATAGAAAACTATCAATGGTTTTTTTTTAGCCTGGATGGAGGTATTCAATGAACCCAGGGTTTAGGACTAGAAACTCTGTGGTTTTTAATATACATTAATAACTTGTGGCTACAGGACACATCTTCAAAACTTTCAGCTGATGTGTCATCCAACAGTACTGCAGCCATTCAGTACCATGTGGAGTGACATAAACTTACATTCCACTCATAGAGAAGCAACTGAGCCACAGCTGAGTTGGTTGAGAAGCTGACTGCGCTCAACAGTGATGCTCTTCACATCAGTTAGTCCAATGGCATTCACTTGCTACACTTGCAGCATCGAGAAGGGTTGTTTAGCGGAAGACAACAGCTTGGTCATGTTGGAGTCTGTACCCCGACAAGACTCAACACATTGAGGAGAGTTCTGTCTGCAGATGTATGTGCAGGTCTTCATAGTGTCTTGTTACATTTCCCATTTCATGTATTTTTCCCCTCACTTGTGTCACAGTTTGCTCCAGAATTGAGCCTCCAAACCATTGGTGCATTGAGTGACACTGGCGTTAAGGTTGTGCTTTGGTCTGAGAAGCGAATACCAAGGCATTGCTGGACATTTGAAAGGAGCGGGACAATCCAGAGCCTCTTGTACAAAGGGTTTGTACTCAACATCAAAGGTGAGTGTTTTCTAAGCAGCTGCTTTGTGAACACCATGCCTTCAAGCCCAACATAACAGCTGCCTTTTTCCTAAATATCGGGAAAACTGAAGCAATTGTTTTTGGTCTCTGCCACAAGCTCCAGTCACGAGGCACAGGCTTCATTTTTCATCCTGGCTGTGCTCGAAGGCTCTTTGGCGACTTTGCCTCTTTCACTTCAGTTCCAGTGGATGGACAGCACAGGCTGTCTCTTTCCTTTGGTGCAGTCCACACAGCATTAACATTGTGCCAACCTGCTGGTCATACTAAATACTCGACCATATTGCCTTCTGTGCTACAAAGGATTTTACTTCACTGTTCTAACATTCTCTCCTATAAGGTAGAGGTTATTGGAGAAGGGGTGGTTAAGAATTTGAAATCAATCACAATCTGGAAATAAGAGTTTAATGATGACCATGAATCCATTTTGCTGATTGTTGGAAAAACCCCTCTGGGTCACTAATGTCCTTTAGGGAAGGAAACTGCCATCCTTACCTGGTCTGGTATACATGTGACTCCAGACCCACAGCAATGTGATTGACTCGGAACTGCCCTCTGGGCAACTAGGGATGAGCAATAAATGTTGGTCCAGCCAGTGACGCCCTCATCGATGGATGAATAAAAAAAAGACTTGAAATGAGAAGTCCGGGAATCAGAGACCAGCCTCCCTTTCATTATAGAGGCATTAGTTCAAACCCGTCTGGTAACCAAGATAAGAGTCGCCTCACAACCTTTGAGCCCAATCGCGTCACAACCTTTGAATTACTGGCCTGGGCAGGATCAGTTGGCTCAGCACAGGCTTGGGAATTGCACCCTAGTGAACTGAGAGAGGGGAAGAAATATCTCAATTTCCCTCGAATTAGTTGGGGGAAGAGATGGGTGGGTGGAACAATGAATGGAAACGGTGATTGGCAACAGGGTTATTGTGAGTGGGTGTACATGAACCAAGTTATCCTCTCCAAGGCTAGCAGTTGAGATATGGGCTGTCTTTGCTTATGCCAATGTTATGATGTACGCCAGTAAAAGGGGGTGTTGCCCTTAGGGAGGAAATCTTGGAATGGCAGGGGCCACGGGTAAAGCTCTCTTGGCTTGAGTGATGTGCTCAGCCAGTTAGTCAGTCCGCTGACCTGATTCTCCTCTCCTGCTCTTTTAGGTGGAAAGTCTTACGATCGGGACAGTGCGATTATCTGTAAACATGACGAGGAGAATCTGCTCCAGCAGTGGGAGATTCAGATGCTGTGAAAACACAAACTGCTCAAGAACAACCTGTGACACACACACACACACACACACACACACACAGATATAACCCTACCCAACGCTCCAATCAGCCTTTCCACTACTTCCCGGGAACTGAATGACTCCCCACTGTGGTACTGGGAGTTAGCCGCTTAGCTGAGAGGCAACTTCCAGACCCCCTGGATGGCAATGTGTGTGATCCCCCCATTGCAACAGCAATGACTCTTGTTGTCCCCTTTACATATAGAGAGCTCTCAGAGAAAGGGTGGGGAGGGCGGGGTGGGGAGTTGGTGGGGGAGGTGTGGGTGAGGACACAGGTCAAAGGTAAGAGAGTTAGGAGGGGCAATACTTTCAAGCCAGAGAGTCCTGACTGATTTTCTAAATAAACATCTTAATTCATTGAGTATTTGGGAAGACTGACTTCGAATTCCAGGGAGACAGAATGAGACAGAGTGGTCTGGAGTTAGAGGGAGCTCTTTGATAACAAAACAACACCTTATTGCAGTTTAAGAGCATCCTGTAGTCATGTCTGTTCAGTATCTGAGTTTTGTACAGGATGGGGAGGGGGAAGGGTTTATGTGATGAGAATTTCAGAGTGGGGCTGGTGGGATATTCTCTATTCAGATTTCCGAACCGAACAGAGTGTAGCAGGAAGTAAACTCCGGGTTATCTGAAGTACCTCCAGCCTTCCTGTTTTACAGCTTCATGGGTCCAGTCTCTTCCCTTTGCGTACGGAATACCCACATCCACAGGGAGGTAACAACACTATCATTCACTGAAGCTCAAATTTCACTTCTATTCCTGTGTTTGTGGGGCTCGCTTGATTACAGTTCCCAATCCTGTTTCGGATTTACAACTCTGGATTCATAATATCATCAGATATAGCAGCAGGAATAGGCCATTCAGCCCCTTCAGCTAACTCATACTATTCATACGTACTATTCAATAATATCTGATCTGAGAATGGCTTTAACTCCACTTTTCTGCTTGGGCCCCTCAGAATCCTTGACTCCACTGTTGTCAAAACTCGATCTAACTCAGTCTTGATTTAGTGACCCAGCGTCCACTGCTCCCTGAGGAAAAGAATTCCAAAGGCTAATGACTCTGAGGGCAAACATTCCTTCTTGTCTCAGCCTGAAATGGGAAATTTCTCATTTTTAAACTGTTCCCGTTAGGTCTAGATTCCCCAAGAATCATAGAATCCCTACAGTGTGGAAACAGGCATTCGACCCATCGAGTCCATGCTGACTCTCCAAAGAGTATCCCACCTAGACCCACCCCACTACCCTATCCCTGTAACCCTGCATTTCCCATGGTTAATCCACTTAGCCTGCACATCTTTGGTCTCACAGTGTCTGTCCTCACTCCTTCTTAGGATCTTAAACCTTCTGTTGGATCATTTCTCACTTTCCAGTAGATCCCCAACTTATTCAGCCCTTCATCATTAGGCAACCCTTATATCCCAGTGATCAGCATAGTGAGGTCTTTCTGAACTAGGTTCAACTCAGCAGTATACCATGCCCCCCAAGAGATAGAGTCAGTGTCAGTGCAACTGTACCTGCTAACCCCCCCCGACCAAGGCAGGGACAGTGCAATGGTACTCCTCCCACCACCCCCCAACCCCCAACCCCCCAGGGAGAGAGTCATTGCCAGTGGAATACAGGGAGGTCACTGTGCGGTGCTACTGCTATTTAGGCAAACCCCTCCAAATATCAGATTTATTATTGTTTCGAATTTATCCAAAATATTCAAGTTCAAATATGATTTGTGATGTTGAGGCATAAGCATTGCGTTCGCCGAGTGTTTTATATAACGGAGACGGAGTAATAGCTTTGATTGTAAGAGTTTTATAAGCACAATAAATTTTATATGCAAAGGATCAGGAATTCTGTGTAAAGATAGGGTAAATTTAGTGTTCTGTGTAAAATGGGTTCTTTTATATCTTGCAATTATGGTTTGCTTAGTTCTCCTCTCTAAATCCAATTTGGATATACCTCATAATTCATTCAGCCCTGGTACAATGCAGTGGGTGAGAGGGAGGAGTGTGTGTGTGTGAGTGTGTCTGTGTGTGTGAGTGAGTGAGTGAATGGGAGTGTTGCCTTCACAGTTACAGTCTCCTCTGTGCAATCTCCTCTGCTGCCCTGTCACAAGGGACAGGAAATATGGAGAGCTGGATCCCAACACCTTCTGAGAGATAATAAGAACTGCAGATGCTGGAGTAAGAGATAACACCGTGCAGAGCCAGAGGAACACAGCAGGCCAGGCAGCATCAGAGGAGCAGGAAAGTTGACATTTTGGGTCGGGACCCTTATTCAGAAATGGGGAGGGGGAAGGAAGCTCAGAAATAAATAGAGAGATGGGGTGGGGAAGGTAGGTGGGATGGTGATAGGTGAGTACAGGTAGGTAGTGGTGGGAATGGGGCAGATAGGTGGGAGAGAAGATGGACAGGTTGTGTCAGGTCAAGGAGGCGGGGATGAGAGGGAGTGTTGGTCATGGGATGAGGCCGAGGTTGGGGAGATTTTGAAACTGGTAAAATCCATATTTAGGTCATTGGGCTGTAGGCTGCCAAGGCAGATTATAATCCAACCCCACAACCAAAGATATATTTCCCTCTCCATCCCTATCTGCCTTTCATAGGGCCTGCTCTCTCTGCGACTCCCTCATCCGCTCCACTCTCCCTACTAACCCCACCATCCCCGGCACCTTTCCCTGAAACCGCAGGAAGTGCCACACCTGCCCCTACACCTTCCCCCTCGACACCATTCAAGGCACAAAACAAATCTTCCACATCAGAGAGATGTTCACCTGCACATCCATCAATGTGGTCCATTGCATCCACTGCTCCCAATGTGGCCTCCTTTACATCGGTGAGACCAAGTGTAGACTCAGAGACAGTTTCGTAGAGCATCTGCGCTCCGTATGCAACCAACGACAACACCTTCCAGTCGCGAACCATTTCAATTCCCCCTCCCACTCCCTGGGTGACATGTCCATCCTGGGCCTCCTCCAGTGTCACAATGACGCCACCTAGAAACTGGAGGAGCAGCACCTCATTTCTGCCTTGGGAACCTACAGCCCAATGGCCTAAATATGGATTTTACCAGTTTCAAAATCTCCCCATCCCCGGCTTCATCCCCTGACCAATCCTACCTCTCATCCCCGCCTCCTTGACCTGACACAACCTGTCCATCTTCTCTCTCACCTATCTGCCCCTCCCACGTCACTAACCAATCCCCACCACTGCCTACCTGCACTCACCTATCACCATCCCACTTACCTTCCCCAGCCCCAACCCTCCTCCCTCTATTTATTTCTGAGCTCCCTTCCCCTCCCCCATTTCTGAAGAAGGGTCCCGACCCAAAACATCAACTCTCCTGCTCCTCTGATGCTGCCTGGCCTGCTGTGTTCCTCCAGCTCCACACTGTTATCCCAAAACCTTCTGCTTTGGTTTGATTTGATTTATTATTGTTCCCTGTACAGTGAAAAGTTTTGTTTTGCGTGCAGTGCAGGCAGATCATAACTATACAAAGACATAAAGATCAAGAGTGATTGAACAGAATGACGAATGCAATGTTACAGCTTCAAAGAAGGTATCTAAAAAGCAAGATCAACATTAGGTTCTGCTCTGGAGCAGGAAGAAAACAGAACAGCATGGTTTTCAATAGTGAAGAAAGACATACTTGCATTTATATAGCACCTTCCACAACCTCAGGGGCTCCCAAAATGTTCACTGCCAATTAAGAATTTTTGAAAGTGTGGATACAGCTGTGATACTGGAAAGAGCATGCAGTTTGCACACAGCATGATCCCACAATATGTTAGAAGATTAGCTAGTCTGCTTTTATTATATTATTTGTAAGGTTATTATTGACGCCAGGGTACTGAGGGAAAAAGAACTGCCCTGCTCCTCTTCAAAACAGTGCTGCGGGATCTGTTACACCCACTTGAGTGCTGACAGTAGTTTCTGTTTAATTTTTAATCTGCAAGACACTGTACGCCTGGGTTCTGTCTCCAGACTCTGTTGGGGTTTGAATCTCTGAACTGTTGACTCCAAAACAACCCATGCTGTCCATATGGGACAACATTTGGACACTGTCCAGTCTTGGGTTCTTAAGTGGCAACTGTCATTCACACCTCACAAACTTCAGGGAAATGACTATCTCCAATAAGGGAGAATCTAATCATTGCTGCTTGTCAGGGAATGGCATGACCAGTGCTTGATCTCCAACTACCAACATACCATTGACCAGAATCTGAACTGGACTTGCCACAATAAATGCAGTGGCTACAAAAGCAGGTCAGCAGGTAGGAATCCTGTGGCAAGTGAATCACCTCCTGACATCCAACTTCTATTAGGCACGAGTCATTGCCTTGATGGGTGCAACCCCAACAACATTCAAGGAAACCAACACCATCCAGGACAAAGTAGCCTGCTTGATTAGTACCACATACATTACTGTGAGATATTGTATTATGATTCTCTTTACCAATTCACTCACAAGCGCTCTATGTTTACTATACCACATTTCCATTCATTCATTCATGAAACCACATTTTTGTGGTACATTTTACTCTTACAAAATAAACTAAATCAAATATCCTTTCCAACCCATTACTGTTTCTTCACACCTTTCAATTCTTATTGGCCCCATGCTGTGAGCAGCATTTGAACCAGCTTCTGTATCAAAGGCTACCCCTGAGTAAGTGTTAATACCATAACCTACTCAGAACAAAGCCATCCCTGCCATTGTGTCTCCATAACTCATTCAAAACTATGGAGAAATTGTTACATTAATTAGCCCTTAGCTGGGACCTGAATAGGTTGTAGAATGTCAATCAATTTCCTCCACTAGTATGTACTTTTTAAATACATATTAAATAGGGCCACTACCACTTGAAAAAATTTACTATCAAAACAGCGCTTCCGTGAAACTGCGTGAATGAATGTGTAAGTACCATATTACTGGTACTATTATTTACCAGTAATAGTAAATGAAATCTCATGACCCAGCTGCAGGAGATCAGTTTAATATCCTCTATACTTTTATTTAGTACACAAATAATTTCTCACTTATTTAGATCATATAGGTCTAGTATTATTACTAACATTACTAGCTTTAGAGACAAAAGGACTAACAACTCTTAGTTGCAAACTCAGACCGGACAGACATTCTAATCCCATCAGGAGTAAGAGCCAGCATTTAGCAAGTGCTTAAACCATCTCCTGCTTCCCCAGGACAGATGTCATGCAAATGTGT